ACCATCTCTGAAAAAAGATCAGGAAAATATGGTAGGCATATGTATTAGGAAAGGGTACTTCCAACACTAAAATTGGATCTCATGGTTATGACAGTGTACAGAGCACTGCATATGCAAACATGAGGCATCCATAGAAGTGTGTGGGTCACAAAAACAATATGTATTAGTTGAAGTCCAGCAATCATTCTCATTGTGTTGCTTCCTCAGTCTTTCTGAATCTTTGGCAAGCTGTTTTGAACAAGACTTTACATGAACATTTTGTGTTTTATAATTCCCTTCTTTGCAATGTTCTACCATTAACCAAAATCTTCAGAATAGATGATAATATATTTCTTGTGCTCTCTCCTGAAATACATGTTGAATCCTATCTGTTTCAGAAGTCTATCTTGTCTTTTTTCAAATTTTATTTTATGACTGTGTATTCTGGCATGGTCTTTATTTTGTTCCAGTAGTCCTCCCATCCCTGAAAAATGCATGAGTCTTTCTGGCACACATCCTTTTCATTTGTCTATGATCAGTGAAACAAAGTACTTTTTAAATTTTATAAGCATTTTCTGATTGCATCAGTGGAAAAGCTATCTGGACTATAGTGATGTGATACACTTCACTGCATCTTCAGTCATATTTTCTTTGAGAGTTCTACTGGTAACTCACAATATTGGTATTTCTGCTAAATATAAGTTAAGAATGAAACACCCTTTAATATCAGGTATTACTCAGGCAATGTGCAGATTTTTGACTGAAAGAGAGTCATGCAGATTAAACAACTTAGATGGTTCATGTAAATAACTTCAGGCTTGTCAGCCTTTTGAACCCAGTAACAGTATTTTCATGTGGAATATTCCTCTGATGTGTATATATATGCTTTAGGAAAGTTAAACACTGTTGTAACTTGGGCAACTCATCCCGGAACAGTGAGGAGAAGGATGTGATTTCTTTATCGTTGACTGGGAAAATTAAAGTTCAGTTAAACATCTTTTTCCATTTTGAGATATCAAATCCCTATCAAATCTAATCTTTTGTTTTATTGGGCAAATATTGTAGCTGCTAGTTTGGATCTTGAACTGTTTTTCTAGGTATTAAGCTCTAGGAATGAGAAAATCTACATGTACCTAACTTTATTTATTATGTACAACTCTTTGATTTCAAGGAGTTTTTTCAGAATAGAAAACTTGCATTTGAACCATGTAACTTGCATTTATAACCCCCTTAATTTCTTTATGCTGTTCTGCAGATATTGGTTACTTGCTTCTCTTTGTGGTGTTAGGCATTTGTTTTCTTGAATTGATCATAATTTTGTCAGTTTCCTAATTGAGGTGGTATTAATCACACCTTTCCCCCCCCACTTCTGATACAAATTGTGTTAATTTCTAACACCTACACTAAGATCTCAAATGGCAGACATCAGTCTTTTTATAAATAAAATGATTAAAGACTGTCAATGTAGAAGCCAAACCCCTTGACTTAGGTGTGGCTGCAGGAGAAGCATCTTCTTTGCATGCAATGTTCCAACTCAACTAGTGTTTGGGATGTTTATGTACGTGTTCTCATGGCAAGGCCCCAGCCTGCTGAAAAATATTCCATAAGATGACTCACACTATTACGACAGAAGGTAGAGTCATTGAATGTTCCTTAAAGTGCATTTAATTTACTTCGTTCTTGATTATGCATAAAACCACTTAATAATGCTATGCAAATTGTTATAAAATATATTTATAATATGTGATAAATAGCTTCTACAAAATTCTTGTATTTTCTCTGTAGCCTTAAAAAATGAAAATGTTTACCATGATAGATGATGCTTTTAAATCTAATGTTTACTTCAACTAATACAATTAAATAAATATGTATTAAAAGGATACTCATCTCAACAGCAATTTCAACAGTTAGTAGTATTTCCATTTAGTGGACAGGTATCTCTGCAAGCTTACGGCACATAAAAATGACATTTTTTTCTATTTTCAATTGAGACACCCCCCCCCCCACTACTAAACAAAAGGAACAATGTGGCAATCTGATTTTCTGAGCCATGTTTTTTGCATGCATTTTTCTTGGGCTAAAAACATCGTTTACTGAGCTCTGGGAGGAAAGCTCCTTTTCCTGTGGCTTTGCAAGGTATCCCTCTACTATTTGCTAAGAGGAAGGGGTGACCTGCAGAGGGGTAGGCCCCAGGCCCCAAGCAGCATGCATTTGCTGTGGCCAGTACCAGGTGCGTTAGCATTCAAGTCATAATACTTGTCGTTGCCCTTCCGTAACCCATCAGTAGGCTAGTTCTCAGTCAGCTGTGTAGTTTTCTGTCTGCTTCCAAAAACCGAAGGCAAGCACTATTAAGACAGACACAAATGCCGTTCTCTGTAGTATTTTCTTCTAGATCAAGACTTTAGAGAAATATAGACCAGTTAATCTAGTTCAGTATGCTATGTGCTAAGTGTATAATTAACTGAAAATAGCAGTATTCATTGTAGTTTTTCTATGTTCTTAAGGAGAAACTGGAATAACCCTATTCTGGTAGGAGTTGCAGGGATGGGAAAGTATGTTTAAAAGATGGGGAGGCATCTCACAAAGTAGGCTTTTCTTCAGCTGGGGAGTGAAGCCACAGCACCAGTGTAAAATGATGTATTATGCAAGAGCAGTAGTTTTTATTGATTTTGTTACCCATATCACAGTGAGAAAATGTTACCTCTTCTTCATCTAAATGAAAGCTTTATTCTAAGGAGATTATTGTGTCAGTGTCTCTGCAGCTTGCAGCTTGTTTTCGGGGAATAGTCAAGGCCTTTACAACTTGTTCTTTCATGTTCTGAGAGTTGGCAATCGAACAGGCAGTGTAAAAGATTATTCTTGGGACATTTTTATCAAGCGTGAAACAAATTTAAAGAAGGCAGGAGGAAAAAAAATAACCAAACCAACAGTATTACACTTAGAGAAACCTGATTGTCTTTTCAAAACTGCTGTTAAAGCAGTCATTATTACTCATACCATCTCTATTATTATGGCTGAAACAGGAGTGTTCAGTTTTCTAACACTGTCTTTTATTTTTCATTAATTTTCTGTACTGCTAAGAGCAATGGATGGTATTGGTTTCATTGCATTGTTTTCGTTGCACTGAAATTTAGAGAAGAATAGTGTGAGCTTGATCATGCTTCCACTAAGCATATTGGAAGTGGAAAGTCCCACTGCTTTAGGAGGATTATATTGCACTGCTAAAGTTTTATTATTAATTAAATGTTCTTTATAGACATAATGGGTTCTGTGTTACCATCTGTCATATGGACTTGTCTTCAAAAAAGCACAAGGAAACCAGTGATTCTAAATGACTGAAAAGCAATAGATTTTTATTTACAGTGTCCTTGTAGTTAGTTCAAAGGCAAGCTTGTATTGAGTTTCCCAAAGTTAATACTATTTTGTTATCCAGGGAATTTGGGATATTGCCAAATGAAATGTTATCATTAATTTTTAACAATGTGATATTTAACAGTTTTATTTCTATCTGTTGCAATTATTTAAAGCTTCTACTACGTACAGACAAGAAAATAGTTTCTCTAGAAACAAAAATGAGAAAATTAAAGAACTGAATTTTTCACTAAAAGTTGTATGCCATATTTTTTTCTTTGGGTGTTTTGTGAGTCTGGTTTTCAGTAGTGTAGGATTTCAGTAGCAAAGGTTTCAGACCCTTGTGGCTCTGATTAGCTTCAGTGGGATGAATTTTTGCTCAGCATCTTTGGAAGTCCCTTCCTTTTTGGTGTTATGACTAACAGAATTCCCAGTGCTGAAAGAGGCAGAGAGTAACATACTCTGCACTGAGAACTGCAAAATCTAAAAGCCAAGTCCTACACAGCAAGCTAAAAGGACAACAGTAGTTTTGGTCTGTTCAGCATGGAGCAGAGGAAAATGGGGAGAGACTCCTTACAGTCTACACAACTTCCTCATTGGAGGAAGAGGAGGGGCAGGCACTGATCTCTTCTCTGTGGTGACAGTGACAGGACCCAAGGGAATGGCCTGAAGTTGTGTCAGGGGAGTTTTAGGTTGGATATTAGAAAAAAGTTCTTCACCTGAAGAGTGGTTGGGCACTGGAACAGGCTCCCCAGGGAACTGATCACAGCACCAAGCCTGCCAGAGTTCAAGAAGCATTTGGATGATACTCTCAGGCACATGGTATGACTGTTGGGGATGTTTCTGTGCAGGGCCAGGAGTTGGACTTGATGGTCCTTGTGGGTCTCTTCCAACTCAGCATATTCTGTGATTCTGAAACTTTACATTAATTTAAAACATTAAAGCAATGATGCTGATACAGAATTGGTACAGGATAATACTTTGGGGCCTTAAAAATGTTTACAGGTAAGATTGGCTTAAGACAAGCATTCCATTAAAACAAACGTATTGTGGCTGGCAGTGGAGTTTAGCAGGATGAAGGTGTGAATGTGTAAGTACAAGGAGCTAAGAGTTTTCTATAAGAGAACTGGCAGCAGTGTTTAATTGAAAGCAGGGCTTCAGTGTCAGCGTCTGCCATTTGAAGACTTTAAAGCTCAGCAGGAATAGGTTAAAGTGATATTTTTTGTGACTAAACTTTGTTACTCTGTGAGTTCTGACATGTGGTGAAGAATTTGATGAAGAATGACTAAAAACTTGTAAAAGCCATAGAAATTAACTGCCTTGTGTAAAAGAGAAAAGTGAGTTCAACACACCCCCCCAAGTGCAGTGGAAAGGACAAGGTGTCATAATACAATGGCAGTGCACATGAATAAATGTGCATAAGAAAATAGAGATGGATACAAGGGATGGATAGAAACTTTATCTTGTAGATAGAGAAGTGACAGTGTTGTAATTGCTTGTGTTTCTCAATTAACAGTGACCTCAGCCTATTCACCTGATTTTAGTGAAATCCTTTTTAATGAAAACGCTGTTGCTGTATCCATCCATGCTCTTGGTTTGATTTACCAATACAGCAGTGATTTCAAACCGGTTTAGAGTTGTAACCAAGTGTTACTGTTCTTATTTGACAGGCCGGACCTGATAGACATGAATACCGTTGCTGTTCAAAGCAACCTTGCAAATTTAGAACATGCTTTTTTTGTAGCAGAAAAACTTGGTGTTGCCAGACTTCTGGATCCTGAAGGTAAGAGAGTTGCAGAGGGCTTTGTTGCAAAACCCCTAGCATTAAAATAAAATTCAATCTGCCTGCAGGTTGTAGCACATTTGCGGGCATTCTTACAACTATGTGATAAAGTGGTGTTCTGTCTTGCTCTTTTAGATGTCGATGTTTCCTCACCTGATGAGAAGTCAGTAATAACTTATGTGTCATCACTTTATGATGCATTTCCCAAAGTACCAGAAGGTGGTGAAGGCATCAGTGCAAATGTAAGTAAGAGAAAAATATTTGTGCTTCATTAATAAAATTCTGGATTTCAGATCCAGAATGTTAGCTGGATCTTCCATAGGACTGCTGTCACACTTTTCTTTGACATGATTTTTCTAGGTTGAGATTTTAGAGTCTTAGCTGTTTCATATTATGGACATGAAAATATCTGTGCTAAAAGCTTAACTAAAAACAATATACCTGAAGTTGGAAAAAGATCAATTCATAGTTCTTACTTTTCAGTCATGGATGTATACATTTTGACTCTCTGATTATTATCAATCTCAAGTTTACTAACCTAGAAAATACTGTGTTTTCAGTGGAATTATTTGGGACCAAATCATATATTTGGAAATTTAAAGTGGGCTGTAATGAACAAGTAAATATTGTTTCAGAATTGCAGGATTTCAAAATCTCTTTTCATATGTGTGAAGACCTCAGTCTTCAAAGCTGAAGGAGAAATGATGTCTCAGATGATTTTCATCTGTTCTGTAATATGGGTTTTGCTTTGGCAGGATGTTGAAGTCAAATGGGTTGAATATCAGAATATGGTGAACTACCTCATGCAGTGGATCAGACACCATGTCATGATAATGTCTGACAGAACATTTCCCAACAATCCTGTGGAATTGAAGGTGAGATGTGATGGCTTAAACTTTCTGTTGGAATTACACTTTATGTTACTGACTCAAAGCAAGCTTGAACAAGTGATGTGCTTATTGATTTATTCAATTAAAGCAACTCTAGAACAGTACTACTTCTTGACTTTTTCAAAGTAAATAAATACATTACTAACATATGAACAACCAAAAGCAAATCTTTAGTTTGACACTGATCATTTTTTGTAGAACTGTGGTAGTACAGTATAAAGGTAAGCTTGTGAAGAATATTAGGAGAGGGTTTAGAGAAGAACTTTATATTAACTATAAGTAAAAGCTGATGATGTTTTTTTATGTTTCTGTAGGCACTTTATAATCAATATTTACAGTTTAAAGAAACAGAAATTCCACCAAAGGAGGCAGATAAATCAAAAATTAAACGTCTATATAAACTGCTAGAGGTAAGTTTTAGCATGCATTGAAATGTATAGAAGTTCCCTTTCTGTGGCTTAAAATAACAAATATGTATGAATTGTTAAGGTCTGGATAGAATTTGGACGCATCAAACTTTCTCAAGGCTACCATCCAAATGATATAGAAAAAGAATGGGGAAAGCTTATTATTGCCATGCTGGAAAGAGAGAAGACTCTTCGACCTGAAGTGGAGAGGTATGCTAGTGAACGTTGGACAGGCTTGGTTAATATATTTTCTGTTGTTTTAACCCATACTGAAATTTTTAAATACCTTCTTCCATGATAAATTCACGTTATTTTACTAGATCAAGTAATTCTACTTTTGTTCAAGGCCTGAAGTTCTTTACCTGCTTCATGGAGGCAGGTCCAGACAGAAATAACTTCTGTGGTCTCAGACGGTCAAGATGAACAGTATCTGTGCCTCAGATCATCAAAGCACTTACACACAAATATAGCCACCTTCTTTGTACAGTTAGTCAGAGCTGGGTTTATATCAGTTCACTGTCTCATATAAGCACCATCCTCATCCTTTACATGAAATGTGTATTTCACTTGCTGCACAAGTTTGTGGGCTAACATCCTGTTTAGAGATTGTTTGAGTTAGTTGTTCTCAAGAGCACACAAAACACTTAGATGTGCAAAATGCATGGTCATCTTCCATGGTAGTAGGATGTGTGACACTGTTTTGTACATCACTAGTAACATACTAGCATACTACAAATTACTGAGCATAATTAAACTCTTGATGCAATCTGAGAACATTTCTCCTTTTTAATGGTATTTCTTAAGTTCTGTGGTGGACATAGGTGTTATCCATTCATTAATTAAGAAAAACCCTCTTTTCTTTAAGTGCTTTTTGGGGCTTCTGCATGTGGGTAGATATAGACACCTGGGTCTGGATTCATTTTGCTTAACTTTAAGCATCCAAAGGAGACACCTAAGATCTGAATCACTTCCTAGAGAATCCTGTCACTGACTTTCTGGTGACAATAGGATGATCCTTCTCCTTGCTCCTAGGTACCTGAAAGTAGGTATGAAGAATCCAGATCATTGTATAGGAATTCCTCAGAAAGAGACAGATTTCAGCCGGAGAAGATCCCAATGACAGTCAAAGTTAGTTAAATATGTGTCATGCCTACAAAAGCAAGAGCATGACTGAAACAGCAGATTCAGTGGGAGGTGTTGATTCACAGCACCCTACTATGGAACAAGTTCCTTTAGAGGAATACAAAGTTGTCCCCTGCAATACAGAGGTTGTCCGCTTTATGCAGAGCAGAATACTGGAAAGAAGCAGCAGAAATACAGCCTGCTAGGTCTTGTAGGTTAATCTGTCCCAAGATGCCAAAAGCAAAGTTAGTGTCTGGCTTCACCAATAGAAATTCTGTTCATACTTGCAGAGAACTGTATTATCTTTGTTGAGAAAATGTGTAAAAGATGTTAGTTTATTTATTTTTTATTCATATGGATGGAGCACAGGTAAACAAATGTGAACTAAACTCCTTCCTGTATTTCAGGAATGGTAAACAGAGTGACAGATCATAGAGTGATAGTCAGTACACGTGGTGGTCCCTGTAAAATGAGAGAAAAAATTTCTTTAAGTGATTCTGGCTTAATCACCAAGTTAAGATTATCTGTTGTTCTGGGCACAAGAATGTCATCCATATCTGTTGTATTGGTTATTAGTGCATCTCATTAATACGAGGTGTTGATACAGCTCCTGGGGTGAAATTTGATTGTGGCAAAAATGTGACCTCTAATACTGAAATTTGGTAAGTAATAAAACTTTGCCTACAAGTCTGGTGAACACATCTGAAAGTATCAACATGGATAGACAATGTGTGGCCAGATTGGTGTATGGGATCAAACTTATTATGATGTTAGTGAGGAAAGTGCCAGACTGAGTGCCAAAGTAGCAGAGTTTGGCATGCAGCCTGGGGTGTGTCTGTGCCTTTGCTGTGCTCTTCTGTGTAAACAGTCACCTTGTGGGGTGGGTGTGGTTGTTGAGGAATCCTAAAAGCAGGGGGTGAAATACTGAAGAAATCACCCCTAACCCAGGTTCTGAGTTAAAATGTAAAGGAAAGAACAGTGATCAGATTTTTCTTACTTGTTTTGTGGTCAAATCAGCAAGAAGCAATTGTCTGTGAATGTAGAAGAACGTGAGAGGAAATTTTCAGTAAACATGCATGCTTGGACAGTGGAGTAGTAATGGTGGGTTGGATGGTGTACAGGTGTCTCAGATTATATTGTTATGAACTGATTACCATGATACTCCCCCAGTTTTATTGTGCATTTCCGTTTGAAGAAAAAGGAGTCAGCCCAACCTAGAAGTTATTTGTACTGAACTGTTGAGTGAGGATTTCGCACTTTGCTTGTTTTTGAAACTTTTCATTGAAGAGTGAGAAATACTGCAAAGACTTCTTTTAGTTCTTACTTGGCTTTGTAGTTATTTAGTGACACTTAAATAAAATATTTGGCATGTCTGTTTCCTAGAGACGCCCTGATGTTGCTGCCTAGTCTGTACTTGCAGAGCTTTATTGCAAGGTAGAGAAGCCAAAAGCAAGGTAGCATACATAGCCCCAGGTACAATCCTTTGAAAAGCTGGCAGAATATTAATTGCTGGGTTTTGAATGTGTGTACTCAAGCCTATTTAAAGGAGGAGTGCTAGGTGTTTCAAAAGCCAGTAGTGGAACTACATCCCTAGAAGCTGTACATTTTGTAGTTTTATCTTTTCATTTTTCAGCAAATGTAAACAGCTGAAAGGACCGTGCTCTGGATGTAAAAATGAATAGCAGTAGTTATAGCTATCACAGCAGCGATTCACTATTTAGCAACAGTACTAGTACTCGAACCAGCGTTGATTCTAATGAGAATTTCCTTTCTGTTAATTGTGGTCCCACGCTGATTAAATCTTGTATAAGCTTCGGTAATGGCACCTTAGAAGGGAACAGGTAACTTGGCATGTGTATTTGTGCTTTGTGTTAGATGCTGTTGATTCATTTGTTTGTTTTTAAAGTCATACAACACGATTGGTAAATATAAATAACTTTAATACTTATTGATTTTTCTGAAAAACTTTGGCATCACCTAGGTTGGAAATGCTGCAGCAAATTGCAAACAGAATTCAGCGGGACAACCGGAGCTGTGAGGATAAACTGATACTTGCCCGGAACGCTCTGCAGTCTGTAAGTCAGTCAGTGATTTTATGTGTCTGTATTCATGAACTTATAGCAGTACAATGGCTACTTAAAAAAAAAACTCTAAAGAATGTTTGAATGTAACCTTCATAGCTGCTACTTTTATTTTTGTTGTACTGTTAATATAGCATTTCTTCAAGAAAATACCACAAATTGCCTAGAGTAGGTTGTGTTGCCTTCTCTTTTTGTCAGTAGTTAGATAAAATCCTTCACAATTGTTTCGAGATCAGAAGTTTTTACAAAAAAAAAAATAAATTAGAAATTCTTACAGCTGATTTCCCTTTGGTTTAGCTGCAAGGCTTAATGACTTTCTCTTATTCATTAAGGACACCAAGCGATTAGAGTCAGGGCTCCAGTTCCAGCATGAAGCAGAGATAGCTGGCTATATTCTTGAATCTGAGAACCTTCTCCGCCAGCAAGTGGTTGATGCCCAAATTCTTATTGATGGAAAATACTATCAAGCAGACCAGCTTGTTCAAAGGTACTTTATAGTGTGTTTATGTAAACAAATAAATGTCCCAAGTGTGGATACCCCTTACATTTTCAGTTCTTTCTGTCAGTGGATAAATTTATCAGTCTGTCACTAGGCACCCAAATATCAGGTAGTTTGATGGGTACATTGCCCACAAATATTGAAGACAAGAGGAGCTGTTTGTACTTATTTGTGAAAATGAAGTAGTTCCCCTGAACATGTCTTAATGTTTAATGTCTACTAGATATTTGTGTGTTAAGATGTTAGCTTGTGTTATTGTACCTAAAATGTGTTTAGAATTCACTAACTTTTGATTTTTTTTAAATGAGGGCAAGATTTTAGGTGATAGTTATAGGTTTATTAGCAGGTAATAAGTGAGGTAACATGAGGTTATATGTGGCAGTGTGTACAGTGTTGGCACAAAGAAGCATTTAAACAGCATAATTCAGTTTTATGAAGAAGTGGCTCTAAAGTTTTTTCAGGATCCGTCCTGGACTGGTTGAGATCAAGCACATAGCTCCTTGGCAGTGAACTGCAAGTGTTTGATCTACTGCAACATGTAGTATCTTGTAAGATTTCTGGTTTGCTGATTGTTCACTAGAATCGTGTATAGTGCATGTTAGTGCCCATACCATGCTAATTTTTTTAGTCATTGCCTGATTTCTTCATCTGTTATCTGTATAGAAGTATAAGCTGACATATCCTGTACTTTCTGATAGAACAGCTTTTTTATAAATATTTAAGTGTGACTAAAGTGTAAGAGATCATGTGAATTCAAATCACTATTCAAATCAGTTCAGCATGATAAACCTTAATCATAAGCATTCATTGAAGTTATTTTTATTTATTTTTTCTCTTATTTTAATAGAGTTGCAAAACTTCGTGATGAACTGATGGCCTTACGGACTGAATGTTCTTCTGTGTACAACAAGGGGCATGCACTGACCACAGAGCAGACAAAGCTTATGATATCAGGAATAACTGAAAGCTTAAACTCAGGATTTACAACAAACCTAACCCCTGAAATAAATGCTGCAATGACCCAAGGTTTAGCACCTACTTTGACTTCTTCCAGCTTGACATCTGGCCTTTCATCAGGTCTTACTTCCAGACTGACACCAACCGTCACTCCCGCTTACCCACCAGGCATCCCACCACGGTTAATCCAGAGCTATGTGACAGGAGTAGACAGTGGGACTCTGCAAACACTCAAATTGATGCAAATCAGAAAACCTCTTATGAAATCAGCTTTTGTGGATCAGAATTTAACAGAAGAAGAGGTGAACATGAAATTTGTCCAGGACCTATTGAGCTGGGTGGAAGAAATGCAGGTACCCATCTTTATGGAAACAGTCCACTTTTAATTATGTTTACTTCTTGTAGAACATGGCTAATTTTTTCTTCCTTTTTCTAAGGTGCAACTTGATCGAACAGAATGGGGTTCAGATTTGCCAAGTGTTGAAAGCCATTTGGAAAATCACAAAAATGTCCACAAAGCTATTGAGGAATTTGAATCCAGCCTTAAAGAAGCCAAAATGAGTGAGGTACTGCACCATATTCTTTATTTCTTTGCTTAATTTCTCACTGGGTGACCCATAAACTAATGTTGAATTTTAGAACTATGTTTGGGTTTCACAGTCTTATTTTTGTTTCTGATCTCTGGATGACTTTTGATGAAATCAGGAGATCTAGTGGTTTAACATATCTAACCTTTCTGTTGTCTTTTGATCTCATATGCCAAATACAGATCCAAATGACTGCTCCTCTTAAACTCAGTTATGTGGAAAAATTGCACAAACTGGAGAGTCAGTATTCAAAGCTCTTGGTAAGTTCATCATTCCTCTTCCATGTCCAGCTTTTCAGTGTGCATAATCTCTCATAAGGGATGAACTTTAAATTCTGATTCTTGTAAATATTTTTTTCTTTTTAATAAAGAACACATCAAGAAATCAGGAAAGGCATCTAGATACTCTTCACAATTTTGTGTCTCGTGCTACTAGAGAATTGATATGGCTGAATGAAAAAGAAGAGGAAGAGGTTGCATATGACTGGAGTGAGAGAAACTCCAATATAACAAGAAAAAAGGAATATCATGCAGTATGTATTGTTAGTATAATCCAGAGAGAATAATTAAGTAATCTTTGATAATTTAAGAGATTTCTAATACTTTTTTTTTCTTTGTCTGGAAAAAGGAATTAATGAGAGAACTTGATGAAAAAGAAGAAGTTATAAAATCAGTACAAGAAATAGCTGAACAGTTGCTTCTTGAAAATCACCCAGCCAGGCTAACCATTGAAGTAAGTTAGTAAAAACAACACAGAAACAGCAAAAGTTTTGGGTTTTAACAGAGCTTAATTTTGGGGGAAAAGAAGGGAAGTGCTATCTTAGAAGAAATTAAACAAGACTCTAAATTAAAGGGCCTTTTTTTCTCTCTTCTTCAGCATCTCTGTCATATCTGTATTCCAGTTTTCAAAAAATAAAACCACTTTTATAAAGTTACGGATACATCTTGGATTGCTTAGATGAAATTCCCCTAAACTCTAAAATTAAAATTTTCAGAGTTGGTCTGTACAGATGTTTCTGGTCATGCACACAGCTTTTAGTGTTATTGATAAAAATTGCATTAGCAGAGGGGCAGAGAACAGTCCTTATGTGGTTTCTTTCCTGTTGGATTGAAAGAAGTTTCAGTGAGAGCTTTTCTAGTTGTTTACTCTACCTACAGGTTCCTATTATGATTTAGAGTTGGTTTCATAACTTATTTGTCAGTGAATTATGAAACCTGTTTGGATGTTAAAAATATGTCCAGGTGATGTGATTTACTTCAGGCTTGAATCAAGCTCTATGTAACACGTACAGAAAATTTACTGTAACTGTTATAGGGTCATAACAGGTTTCCAAAGGAGAATGTAAAATGTTTTTACTTGTAGGTCTTCAAGAAAAGAGTAGATACAGACAGTAGGTGGTAAACATTGAAACAGTGAATAACTGAGTTATTATATAAGAATAAAAAAAGTCAGAAAGAATGGATTTTTATTGTTCTTCAGCTCAGTGAGTTCACATCTGCCTAAATTGGAAACTTGAAGAAAACTCCTCCCTTCCTTCCTTCTCTCAGTAATAAATGACTTTTTATGTAATGTGGGGATTTCTATTCCTTAAAAGTATATGCTATTCTAATGGTTTCCTATCACTGTAATATACTAATATATTAAAGACGCATATTATGAAACCAGGCCACCACAGTGACAATGACTGTGCAGGTTATGCTGTCTCCAGTAATGCTACGCTGGGATATTTATTAAAAATAATAATAAAAAAATCCTTTTCTACAGAAGAACCTATGCATTAATGCATCACTTTGAAATTCCTTGAAGCAATGGAAAAGCTGTTTTGAATTCCCTGAGGATCGGAATTTAAAATCCGAAACCGGTGGTTGATTTCCTGGGGGCGAGAGCGCCCCCTGCTGGTGAAGACGCTTTAAATTCCTGCGCGAGTGTCACACTAAGTTATCTATTGCAGCGAGCCCTGATTATTTCTTTTTTAATTGTGTAGTCAGTGGTACTTTAATATCCGATTTATGTCCAGGAAAGAATGCATCTAATTTGATTGAGTAAATAGAGATACAGAATTGTAGATGAGCTTAGACTGGAGGAACCTTTGGAGTTGTACTCCAGCTCTTGCTTGAAGCAGTGTCAGGGATTTGTTTGGCCCAATTCTGACCAGACCAGAGGATGGTGATTTCACAGTCCCTCTGGGCAAGTTTTCTTATGTTTGACTACACTGTAGTGACAGGGTTTTTTTTCCTCACATCTAATTGGAATTTTCCTTGCTGCAGCTTGCTTTTCCAGGGTGAGGAGGTCAAGTTTAGCTTCTTGTGTTTGCTATGTTGCTTTCATGTTTCCTAAAGGTATTCAAGTTTTAATTGTAATTTCCTTTTTTAAAATATATCTCTCTTCCTTAAAGGCCTATAGAGCAGCAATGCAGACCCAATGGAGCTGGATTCTCCAGCTCTGTCACTGTGTTGAACAACATTTGAGAGAAAATGCTGCATATTTTGAGGTAAGAAAGTAAATCAATAAAAATGTGAAATGTTTTAAGTTATGTCCATGGTCAAAAAGTTCCACCAGAAATGCTAGTTGTTCTCTCACAGTAGTTGTAGAATTGACATTTGTCATGTACAATTAGATGATGAGCTATGCTCCCACAGTGTTACCATGCCTGTATTTCTTCACTGTAGTTATATCAGTTCACAGCAGGTAAAAATCCGGCCTGAGATTTTTTTCAGTGGTGCAGCTGGAGGTGGAGACTCTGAGAATGAAGCCATATTCTCTCCCTGTTGTGCACAACAGCTGTTAATACAGCTTCTGCAGATGACGTAGACTGGAGGATGGGAGAACATATTCTAGATGGTTATTCCAGGACTTCTAAGAAGGAAATAGAATGTACAGTATTAATAATAAATGGAGCAGAGAACACCCTGACAGCAGATAGGCCCAACGAAACACCCATTTGATTGCCTGATTATCATCCATCCACTCAGCAAATGATGCAGAACACAGTTACTGAGTTTTTGGGTTGTTAGTTTTTTTTGCTTCTAAAAAATCTACTTTTTGAAAATATTTAAATTATAAAGAGTAATCTTTAGTGTCTTCTGGGTTGGATGACTGAAAATAAAAAGGAGGTGATTTTGGGATAAGATTCCTTTGGATTGAGAAGGATGGAAGCCCAAAGTGAGGAAAAGGCCACTGTAGAAGACAAAGCAATTGTTGCTCCTACTGGTCAGGATAAGAAATGGGAATTCTGGATTTAAGCAATGAGATTTAAGGGACAGAATGGGGTGAGAATTGTCACAGGGCATTTGTCTTCCAGACTGTGCTTAACCAGGACCCTAGTTTGGGGATGCAGATGCCCAAGCAGAACTGTCAAGTGTGGCAGCTCACTTCCCTTTCTACACAAAATGTTTGCCCCTCTGCTCCCTGGATTTTGCAGCTAGTTTCTGCACTATATTCTTTATATATGAAAGTAATTGTAATTCCAAAGAAAACTTGACTTCAGAAAATTTTTCCATTTCAGGAACAGTAATTAACTAAAGTTCAATAACTGCTCAATTAATTTTGCATTTATATAGTACTAAGAATAACTGGTATGTGCCTTCTTGAAGAGTACATTTAGACATGAGGTCATGAACCTCTCTGCATGTGTGTTGCAATGGTCACTTCAAGCAACTAGAAAATGTTATTTTTAAAAAGTCAGCACTTGAAATAAACTTTGGTGTAGCTGACTGTATGCTTTTTAGGTTTTTTAAAAATAACCCTGGTATTTATCTCATCCTAGTTTTTCAGTGATGCCAAAGAAGCCATGGAATATTTGAAGAATTTGAAAGATACCATATACCGAAAATACAGTTGTGATAGATCAAGCAGTGTTCGTAGGCTGGAAGACCTTGTCCAGGAGTCTATGGTAAGAATTCGAGGACCCTATTAACATGAGTTACAATGAAACCAGAAATGTGTAGAATTATAGTTGGATATAAAATGTGTTAAGATTATTCATTTAAAGTGAAGGGAAAATAGTTCATTTTTCAGAACTTATAAATAAATAATTGTATTTATCCATTTGCAAAGACTGTTTTTCACAACTTTAAAACACAGTATTATTTATTTCTTTATATTTACAATACCAGATACGGGGAACCAGTGGCTACAGAAAGATACTTTGTTCTTGTAAAATGTGTTACTTTTAGGATACGCAGTAGGAGTCAGGAAAAATAAAGCTTAACAGGATCAAAGAGGCAACGCTGAATTCTGGCCATCTCTTATGACGTATTCTTTTCTTAACTGTTTTAGGAAGAAAAAGAACAACTCTTGCAGTATAAGAGCACAGTAGCAGGCCTTGTGGGAAGAGCAAAGGCAATAATTCAGCTGAAGCCAAGAAACCCTGACTGTGTACTCAAAACATCCATCCCAATTAAAGCCATCTGCGACTATAGACAAATTGAGGTTAGAAACTTGAGTTTCTTCAAACCAATTACAGATGTGAAAATTCAGCTAAAGTTTTGTTAATTACCATGTTCTAGAGAAAACTGGGCTCTAAATTTCTTCCACCCTAGTAAACAAGAGCAAATCCCTGTGTTGGAACATTGGTTTTGTTGTTCTGTTGCTTATTTGTAGACACCGTTTGCAGAAGTGCTTTGTACGATTATTTCGTAATGCTTGGCTCATCAAATTATTCTGCTTTTCTGTTAATACTAGATAACTATTTACAAAGATGATGAATGTGTATTAGCAAACAACTCCCATCGTGCTAAATGGAAAGTCATTAGCCCAAGTGGTAATGAGGCCATGGTTCCATCTGTATGCTTTACAGTTCCTCCACCAAACAAAGAAGCAATAGATACAGCCAACAGGTAGGGACAAAATAAAACTGTCTATTTTCTGTTAAAATTAATTTATATGAAGCTTGGGTTAAAAGAATATCTTACAGGGTGGTTTTGTGTTGGTTTTTTTTTTCTTTTTCGTGTGTTACCCTGATCTAAAGTTGGAATTTTTTCATATTTCAGGATTGAACAGCAATTTCAGAATGTTCTGGCCCTTTGGCATGAGTCACATGTAAACATGAAGAGTGTGGTGTCCTGGCATTACCTGACAAATGAAATTGAAGCTGTTAGAGCTGGCAATGTTGCCTCGGTATGTGCTATGACTAGGAAGGGCTCTTAACCATTTGCTGGGAAGTCATAGGATACACTTCCTGGAAATGTATAATCAGTGATTTGCAGCAATCCTCATCTTCCTTGTGGGATTAGCTGGCAGCAGTGGCCATGCTGGTTACCAGTGTGCAATGTTCTGCCCTGATCTGAGCAGTCTTTTCACAACTACCTTTGGGGAAGGAGCAGAGCAGTGGTATTAGGAAAACTGCTTGCAGCCTGGTCTCCTGTCGTGAGCAGAGACCTCTTGAAAGCAATGAACAGTAACTAAATTCTGCATTTTGTGCTGCAATAGTCTACCTTTCTGCATTTATGGGAAGATTAGCTTCATTAGGCTAAGGTTTATCTTCCTGCAGATGGCCATTATTTCCTCATGCTACAACTTCTGAATAACAGTGGAACAACTGTGAAGCAACATTTAGTCTTTCAAGCTGAGGACAGCTGAACACTCATTCCTCCATAATGCATTTTTTCATTCTCATACATATCTGTAACTTGAAATGTGTGAGTGATGCATCATCTCTGACTGTGCTTTGGGTTTATAATCTGTTGCAGATAAAGACGATGCTGCCAGGTGAACATCAGCAGGTTCTAAGCAATTTGCAGTCTCGCTTCGATGATTTTTTGGAAGACAGCCAGGAGTCCAAAATCTTTACAAGCTCTGATACAGCACAGCTGGAAAGGGAGGTTAATGTTTGCAAGCAATACTATCAAGAGCTTCTTAAGTCTGCAGAAAGAGGTAAAACTTAGTTTAGTGTGCTAGAAAGATGCCCTCATGAAAGAGATTTTAGTTCTTGATCCTGAGACCTGTTTTATCATATTGATATTGTTATCACCTCAGTTCTTTAGAACAAAGAGTTGTTTTCACAATGTGCACAACTATATTGTACTGAAGCTCTAATTTTTTTATTAACTTTGTATATATTAACCTGTGTACCAAATATTGTTGTGTTACTTAGTATATAGAGTACTACAAAAAATTTTACACCTGAGAATTTATTACGTGCCTTACAGCTCACTGTTTAGTCATGCCGTTCTTGCTTTTGAATGCTGGAAATACAACTTGATTACTTTGTTGATTTCATAACAGAATTAAAACTTTTTTCAGACTGTTAAGGCAAGAAAAGCATCCTAGGTATTTCTCTACCTTCACAAAATGCTTGTAGTTACTGTTCTCTTAGCGTACTTTTCAATACATTGAGAATAGAAAGCTTAAAATGTCTGTTCTGATTTACTGTTGAGTAAATCAGCAATTTAAAGAAATATAGTAGGGCAAAACTGATTGCTTTATTAGCATAGTTCACTGCACTTCAGGAAAGATGTGTTACCCTGTGCACTGGAAAGAGAGAATTTAAGGTACCTGATATCACTGGTTGAGAGAATCAGTCACTGAGTTTAGCAAAGTCTGCATAGGAGTGATGCCTGTACCTGGGATGCATGGCCACAGACAAAAGTTTTTCATGGGTAAGAAGATGATCTAATAACAGCAAAAATTAAGGGTCCCTGAATTTTCCTTATAGCCAAAATTCCAATGGAAACTGATGGCATTTCAACCAGTCACAGAAAGACTTCACACAGAATCACCCAGAATATGCCAAGTTGGAAAGGACCCGTAAAGATCGAGTCCAACCCTTATAGAAAGATGACTTTATGAAGTGTTTCACGAGACAATATGTTGAAAATGACATGATGACTTTGCTTCTAACATGTACCTTATTTCTTTCAACAGAGGAGCAGGAAGAATCTATTTACAATCTGTACATCTCTGAAGTCAGAAATATCAGACTACGGCTAGAGACTTGTGAGGAGCGGTTAATACGGCAGATCCGAACACCAATGGAAAGGGATGATGTACATGAAAATGTGCTTAGGATTTCAGAGCAAGAGGTGAGCCTTTGAGAAAGTCTGTTTCACCTAGGGAAAGAGTTTTATTTAAAAACAAATATATGCAGGCATTTTGAGTGTAACCACCGAGGTTTACACTGCATCTTGTAAAGACGAATCAAATATTATGCTTGGGTTTATGAGAAAAAGAAGATAATAAATGGTGATTCTGTTAGTTTCCCTATTATACATTTGTTTCTTTTCATTTTTTTTATGTTGTCCACATAAAGCAAGCAAAGGGCATACTTGTACTGATAGTGATATGTAGAGTATGTATCAGGTTGATGTAGGATGAAAACACTGTCAGTCACCTTTCATTTTACAGAAACTGAAGAAAGAACTGGATCGACTGAAGGATGACTTGGGAGCCATCACAGATAAATGTGAAGAGTTTTTCAGTCAAGCTGCTGGTTCACCTTCAGTCCCTACCCTGCGCTCTGAGCTCAGTGTTGTTATTCAAAACATGAATCAAGTTTATTCCATGTCTTCCATTTTCATAGATAAGTATGTACTAGGGTATCTTCCATCACACCTTTTAGTTCACAGTTTTCTCTTCAAAATAAATTGAAGATATTAGTATGAATAATATTGATCTAGGAAAGGGGAGTTAACATTTTAATGTTTTATAAAGGGATGCCCCATGATATGAAAAGACTGAAGAACACGTGTGTTGAATGTTGTTATTGATGGTTCAGTTAACAGGAGATTACTGTTTTTCAGATTAAAAACTATAAATTTGGTCCTGACGAACACCCAAACGGCAGAATCATTAGTGAAACACTATGAAACTAAGTTGTGTGAAGAAGAGGCAGTAATGGCTGACAAAAACCATATTGAAAACCTGATGGGTACATTAAAGGTAAGAGTTTGCTGGTGCTTTCTCATGGGCAAATAAAAAAATAAGACAAAAAGTATCTATCTTGTAACACCTGACTTGGTTATGCTATACTGTATAGTGTATCAAAAATTAGCTTGTGTATTTAGTTTTAGTCTTCATTGGGATTGACATCTCAGAAAAAAATTACTTTGGAGCATTAGGAATTGGATAGTTTGAAAGCATGTTCCCGCTGTTACGAAATGCTGTGAAGTATTTGAACTTCCAAGCGTGGCACTTGTTGATGCTGCAGTAAGATTTTTTCTCGTCACAAGGTAACATATACGTAAGGTAACATAAACATAGGGTTATATTTATGTTATATACACATGACCACACTAGCATTCCTACTACTGCTATAGTATACTAATCAGGCTTTCCTAGGAAGCTGGGCATATATCTTTGAGAAATGGAAAGATTGAACTTAAGCATTTTTTGTTTGCTGTATATGCCTCATTTTGATATTGCAAAATATGAGTAATGCTTTTTTTTGTTAGAGTGATTGGCATCTACCTAATGTTTTTTTTTTAAAGATGTAGTTAATGAAGTAATTGTGTTAATTTGATGGCTCTGTTTTGATCTACGTGTCTTAGGGGTTACTAAGAATTATTTTGCATTTTATAACTATTACTTGCTACAGACCCATTCTGGTACCATTTGAGTATTTGAGCAAGCAGAAGTAAAATATTAATTAAAACATTTTGATTGATTAATTTATACATTTTACTCATGTAAAATACTAATTTGTAAAACAGTGTCATAATTTATGAGTTATTTACAATTTTTCATTTCTCATATACTAGCAATGGAGATCTGAAGTAGATGAAAAAAGACAAACATTCCATGCCTTAGAGGATGAACTGCAGAAGGCAAAGATGATCAGTGATCAGATGTTTAAAATGCACAAGGAACGTGATCTTGACTTTGACTGGCATAAAGAAAAAGTGGACCAGTTGGCTGAGAGGTGGCAAAATGTTCACTGTCAAATTGAAAATAGGTTTGTGTAACCTTTTATTATAAATTGTTCATACTCTATACTGGTTTTATTATTTCTGAGGAAAAACAATCAGAAATTCATACTAAAACAGGTCTGAATAGTTTTCTGAGCTGTTTTTGAAATTTGCTAAGATGAATACCTGTTTTGTGCTGCTGACATCATTGCCTGACTTTTCAGCAGGCATTGTCTGTAACAATTAAGCACCAAAAGATGATCAAGATTATTTACTTACAGCTTATCAATACATAGTAGAGATACATTCTCTTTCTTCTTCAAAAAAAACCAACAGAAAAAGCCTATGGAAGTGGCTGGCAGTCCTATGGAAATACTGTCTGTTTCTCCTCATAATTAAGTTCTGAGAGGCTAAACTGATAAAGTGATTCATCAGTTATGATTGGACTCATGTTAATTTGCTTTTGATGATTCAAGTGCTAAGTCTGGAAGTCCTTAGCTTCCATTGACTTCTGCGATAATTTTGGTGCAATAACTTTTTGGCGAAGTGCCTCTTTTTTTTTTTTTTTTTTGTGCGTGTTCGTGTGCGCAGCCTCAATATCCAGTTGAGATGTTGCTCTAAATTCAAACCTTTACTGTCAAGTTGATATTGAAAAATGTTACTCAAATGCACAAGCCTATACAGATGTGCAGATACAGCAGAACACACCTACCTGTAGTTCTGAAGGAGATGTCCATACATGACTTTCCAGGAAATACTTTTGTCTTCAGTCTCTACAGTTCTGTTTCCTATATGTAAAGGAAGCAGAACTGTAGAGACTGAAGGACAAAATATAAGCAAGTTGAGGAAGTCTGTACTACACAGTCTGAATTTATTTTCTTTAAAATGTACTTCAGTTTGTCATTTTAGATAACCTGAACAAGAGCACTGAAGATAGTGCTGTTGATGTAAAAGTTCACAAAACAACCTGTCACATTTTTGTCCTTCTTTTCTAAGGGGTGAATATCCATTCAGGTGCAATACCAAAGTTTTTCACTTACAATTAACTAATTTAGTTAATTTTTCATCATTTGATAGTTTAACATAATTTAAATGATTAAACACTGGTTTTATCAGTTACTGAAATTTTCTTATTTTCTCAGAGAGTAAACATGAACCACATGCTTTCCTCACAGGACTCCATCCTGAATAGACTGTGCTGAAAAATGGCTGTTAAAGCATAGTGGCTTCTGGTGTAAACAAGACAGACTGTGGTAGTTGCAGCACAGAGCTGTAAAGAGGCTGCTTTCTGCAAATGTTATCTCTGCTGCTTCCTACCAGCTTAACACTGATGATCATTATACAAAAAATATGTACAAATATTGGCTGCAGTTACCATGATCCTTTCTCTCTTTCATGGTTATTAGCTTTAAAACATGCTTAAGTATGAAACCTGAGTAATACAATTTCCTTTACTTGTTCTTTTTGGTATCTTGAGAACAACGCTAGAGCGATTCCAAGTATTCATTCCTAGTCAAACTGTAAAAAGTTGCGTAATAAGTATGTTTATCCTGCAGTGTTGAGTGGTCATATTTATATGATCTTTTAAGTAGAATCTTAAAATATCCTGAGTTGGAAGGGAGCCACAGGATCAAGTGTAACTCCTGGCTCTGCACTGAGCAACTGCCAAAATCACACCATGATAATGTGTAACAATATAAGGATCATGAAAGAAGAAGCCAGTATTTCTATCAGTATGAAAATGAATTTGAAAAAATACACAGAACTCTCTTTACAGGTCAAAACCATGATTTAAAAATGACCATACAGGATTGATTACTTTTGCACGTTAGCAGTCTTCAGTTTTAGTGTAATTCTGTTGTTTTGTTGGCACAAAGTATATGCTACTGCTATTTAACTCCAGCACAGCACACTTCTTCTTGTCCCATAGGTTACATTTGAAATACTCTGACTTCTTGTAACAGAATTGATTGCTGTTGCAGAGCCCTCCCTCTTCCTTACGGTTTCCTGTGCTCATTGAGTTTGAAGCAGATGAGCACACTAATAAGGGATATATGCAGAGGTTCTTCTGTAGTAGGATCTTTCTTGGATGTCCTTTATGACAAATGAAAAGGCTTCATGAAGCTGGGAGCCTTGGTGTTTGAGAAGTGAATTTGCTTTTTTTTGAGTTTTATTTTAGTATGTTTAAAGTGTGAATTGTAGCAGAGTTAAGGCATTCAAACCCTTTAAAGTTGCATTTTTTGTCTTTAATAATCATCTTCTCCCCCTTTACCTATCTTCTAAAATAAAATCAGGTTGCGTGACTTAGAAGGTATTAATAAATCTCTGAAGTATTATAAAGATACTTACAATTCTTTGGACACTTGGATTCAACAAGTAGAAGATACTCAGCGAAAGATTCAAGAAATACATCCTGAAAATAGCAAAGCATTGGCTAAACAGTTGAACCAACATAAGGTATGAAAGGGATGTCCTTGTGGAAAAGCACTGCTGTAATGACCAAAGAATTATAGTATCAGTTTAACCCAGTGATGTCAGTCTTGCTTATTATGAGGTGCTTGTATCCATCAGCCCTTTTTGTAAAATGCCAAGTAATCATGAGATTATATGATTTTATGTTTATAATGTAACCATGGGTATATCACTGATGATTGTCATTTTATGGACCGGATTGTTTGATCCTCAAATCTGCAAAGAAGATCAAAACCTTAAAAATTCTGGACTCTCCTTATCACATAATTTTGTATTCAGTACTGCTCTTGGTATTTATGGATGTAGAAATATTTTCATGAAAGCAGACCTAAACTTAACAACTGTCTCCTGCAAGAAGGAAATGCAACTTCAATAAGAGACAAAATAACAAATTATATGCATGAAATAGTGTATTCCTGATTTTGGTTTAAGTTCACTCACCACCCATTAAAGCTGGCAGGTTTTTTCACTTCTTTTGTACCATAAATCTGATGAAGCTCAGGCTTGAGCATAATTACTTGTACACGCATGGATAGGAGCATATTAAATGTTTGATAAACTAGATGTTAGATAAACATCTACTTATGTTAGATGATGCCAGATAAAGTAAAAATGTTAATTATAATAGTAATAAAAATAACTTTTAAAGATAAAAATGTAGATTCATATTTTACAGATGCTGGTTTCTGAGATTGAAATGAAACAAAGCAAAATAGACGAATGCCAGAAGTATTCAGAGCAATACTCAGCTGCTGTGAAGGTAACAAATAACATTACACTTGTAATCCTATTGTTTTAGTGTCAGTATCACGTGGGATGCCAATCATTTAGTGTATTTTCTCTTTTACAGGACTATGAGTTACAGACCATGACCTACAGAGCTATGGTTGACTCCCAACAAAAATCTCCAGTGAAGCGCCGAAGAATACAAAGCTCGTCAGACTTCATTATTCAAGAGGTAAATGGATTTCTTTTGACAGGAAAATGTGAGTCTTTGCTTAAAAGAGCGTAAACACAAGAGTAGGTTTTTGGATTTATTAATTATTAAATAGGATAACCCAAGCAAGATTATTTTTTTCTCTATATGTGATATGACAAATATTCTCTTGGTCATTGTGCTGTACTTAGGCAACAAGGCTGTATATTGCAGTTGATGAACAAAAGTAATCCAAATAATAAAAAACTGTATGAGAATTTTACCTCAGGAAAACTATTCATTACTACCTCTGGGCTGGGCCTTGATCACGGTAAACAGGGTCAGCGTTCATCTTGGCTAAGGTAAAACTTACCAGATCTGGACGTTTTGAGAGATTCCAAGGCAAATCAGCCTCATTTGGGTGGGAAAGATAAATCTACCTCCCTGATAACTGTAAGAGAGAGGAATAGTGACCAGCACTGCTTGCCCCTCTTATGAACTGTTATTGGAGGGGAAAGAATCAAATGACTGTGAAGTCAAAAGATTGTCTTCTATTTCTTCTCTTTATGGATCTCCTCATAGATCCTTAGGATTTATTAGTGCAAGTGGACCCTGTTGATGACATTAAACTTTGGAATCAAACTTTGGATTCCACAATCAGAATTTTGAGATGAGAATTTGGATAGGTTCTAGATTAGTGTATATCACTTATTTTGAGGTTAATTAGAGTGTTTTCCTTTGTCATACGTCTCCCCCTCCTTTGTTTCTCTATAGTTCATGGATTTACGGACTCGTTATACTGCCTTGGTGACCTTGATGACCCAATACATTAAGTTTGCAGGTGACTCTTTGAAAAGACTGGAGGAGGAAGAGGTAGGTCCTTCCCTGTCAGTCAACCAAGCAAATAGAACATCTAGGCAAACAAACAGCGATATACCTGTTGGAATGATTCACAAAACTAAAATTTGTTATGTAGTGCACATTATACAGGAATGTAGCTCCATACCATCTATACATGTTGCCAGTTCCTCCAACTAAAAGGATCATATGATTCACTAAATTCTGATGGAGACATAGTTACATACATTCAATTTTAATACTTTAATATATTAGGGCTTGATCTTTGGTATAAATGCAGACATTAAGATGAGGACAAACTTACTGTGCATGCACTGTTGATGTCCTGTGTAGGCCTCTTAATATTCCATAGTATGCATTCTGGTCCACTTACAACATGTAAGGAAGTTCTTTTAACAGGGAGGTATGATGCCCTCTTAATTAATTTCTGAAATGTCTTTGACATTTTCAGATACTTTTTTCCATTTGTCCTTCTACCACATTGTTTCCTTGGGGTCAAACAGCATTTTATTTATACTTCGTATTGAATCTTATTAACAAGAGTAGGTTACTGAAGTTAGACTGACAAAGTATTTAAAATACATGTTTCCTGGAGAGTCAACCTTCCAAATAATTGAGAAAAAATACTTCTGAATTCTTCACTTTCTTTTGAAATCTTTCTTTCTGGAAGAGATTATATATAATCATTCTTTAGGGACTACATTATTTTAGTATAAACTTTATAAGTTGGATTAAGTTGAAGAACACTATCATATGGGTATAAATTTTAATGTTATTGTTACAGGAAAAAACCAGAGTTCTATAATTCTGGTGCTGACTTTGTCTTTATTGGCTTTTCTTGCTATTAAATTACCTCTGAACCAACTGTTACGCTAACAGCATTGCATCTTTGTGCATCAAGTGGTGGAGCAAACTGATGGAAATGCATAATATTTGTGGATAAGTAACCATCATAACTGAAGATTTAGTATGACTTATAAAGTTAATGTCATCAAAGATAAAAAGTCAAGCAAAGAACAAGGATCAGGAAACCTGTGAATGTCAATAGGCTTCATGTTCTTCAAGAACAAATGGAATTTCTCAAAATGTTTTGAGTTTCAGTCTACTCTGAGTCTCCAGGACTGCTTTTTTGGAAATCCAATACTTCCCATCTTCCCTCCTCATCCACTCCCTGGCAACCTTCTAAATTTTTGGTAGCTTCTTTGAAGATAACTTAAGCAGGTTTCCAGTCTCAAAATAATATGATGGGGTTTTTCTTTGCAATCAGGGTAGCAAATCTGAAAAATAACAATCCTTTTCAAAGGAGAAATGATATTTTTTTTTCTTTTGGGATCAGACTTCTGAAGTCTGTGATTGTTCCAAGATTTTCTTTCATGCCAATCTTCTTTCCTAACTCTCAGTGTTGGCATTAAGAATGTACAGAATAAGGAAAAAATAAGATGCTTTCTGTGATATCTCAATTTAATCCATATGCTGTCATGCTCAGAGTTTACCAGAAGAGAGTGAACTCCAGCAACCTGTGAAGTCAGCCGAAGTCTTTCAGCATTTGGATGGCAATGAAGCTGTTGAATTGAGAGAGGAAAATAAACCTAATGAATGCACGATGGATGTGAAATGTTTGCAAAAAGATAACTCTTCCAGTAAACCTGAACACACAGAAAATAAATTGGAAATTGACAGAAGAAAATTAAATGTAGACAGATATGATAAAATCAAAATTGATAGAATATTAAAGCAACTTTTAAACTTTGGTGGTCAAGAAAGTAGCATTAGTGTCAACAGAGACAATAAACTACATAGAGAGCAGGAGAGTTTAAGGGATTTTGGTAATCAAAGTAAAGAAGAAAAAAATGGCAGAAAAGATTTTTTTGTTTCAGCTCAGGTCTGTGTGAGTGTGAATAATGATCCTGGTGAAACGTTAAATGAGAAAATTGTTAATGGAGAGAGATGGAAAACAGAGGCAATATCAAAGAAGTTGCCTAGAGTGGAAATTATACACAAAACCACAGGAAAAAAGAATTCAAGAAAGGCAGGGAGTGATGTTTCAACAAAGGAAGAGTGTGAGTTGCAATCAGAAACTAATTTTGAGCTAACAATGAAGAAAACTGAAGTCACTCCAAAAGCTGGAAAGCATGCCCTTGGTATCAGCCCTCACAAACAGCAACATTTTTCACCTCATTTTGAATGTCAGCATAAAGAGCATTGCCTTACAGAAAGCAATAGCCACAATACTTTAAACTCTGAAGACAGAGAGTTTCACGTGTGTTATGAAAAAGGTGATTCTCTTTCAGGTGCAAGGGATGCAACATCTTTAGAGAAAGTTGCATCCTCTTTCAGAGACCTGACAGTGCACAGTGGAAGTGAAAAAACAAAGTTAAATTTGCAATCTATGAGCAATCCAGATGTTTATTGTAATGTTGAAACAGATACTGTCAAACTGCAGAGAGAATCTCCGGATAAAAGTTATTTCCTAGTAGAAAAGAAAATCCTAGAAAAATTAAATTTAAATCCAAATGAAGCCAAGAATACAATGCAAGAAATTTCAACTGTTTCTTCAGGAAATATTTTAGAGACTCATTATGCAGAAAAAGTCTCTGAATCTTATCCATTAGATTTTGAAGTGTCACCAGTGCAGAATGATCAAAGTTTAGGTACAGAATTGTTAGGAAATGCTGGTGATTTAAATGCAGATTTTAGCCTCTCAGAAATTATCTCTGGAGAAGAGGATTATTTTCCAGCATCAGAACATGGATTAACAAAAAAACTTTTGAGTCAAGATGAGAAACTAAGGGTGAAGAAAATATCAGAGGGTAACATTTATGGTTTGGGCAACATATATATAAGTGGGAAGAAGCAGAGTGGAGAAGACAGGTTAGAAGAGGGTCAGAAATGTAAAAATTTATTGCTAGTTCCAGAAATGATCGGTAGAGATGAGGGTCATAGCACAAATGTACCCAGAAAAAACACTAAGCTCCAGAAGACGTTTTGGGAAAAATTAGGGAAAAAAACCTCATTTGAAAAAAAAGAAAAGCAGAAAAAAAGAGACAAAGATAATGAAGAGAAAAGAAGCACAACTATTATTAAGGTACCAGAGTTTTTCTGCAATGCAAATGAAACAGTTAATCTAAGAATGATTCTAAATCAATCCAAATCAACATTTGAATCTCAAAATATGTCAAGTGATTTAAGGTTGATTGAACATAATTTAAACAATGAATATGTGAATTATGTATCAATTACTGTGCATTTTGAGATGCTTAATTTTAAAATTATTAGACATTTATTTTTATATTTATTTTGTGTAACTATTTGCCATCCTTTTCTCCACCCAGCTGATGCTCAGCCATGTTGATTAGCAAAAATGAAATCTAAGAAGATAGGTTGTGACTGTATCTGTATTTTTAGTTCTTCTTTTTCAAGCATAATACATTAGATTTTGTGTCTATGGGAGCATAAGAGATCTGATAACAAATCAATTTAAACATTTTGTTTCCATTGGGGGCTGTTCAAAATTTTAATACAGAGAAATATGGAGACAAACTGAGGAAGCTGCCTTTGCATTAGCCTTTTAGGAAATGTTTCATATATCATGTGAAGAATCAAGTAAATCTGGCAAATTTTAAATAACCCAACATTCTGTTTGTTTGAAAATGTTGCTATAATTACCCTTCATGCCCTCTTTTTATGATCATAGGAATATAGAGGTGTTCTTACCTCATGTTAGCTCATATTTGGTATCTTAACACCATAATAGTGCTAATGAGGACAAGGTATGTATTGCTTCAACCATATTATTACTGGTGATTGCACATCTTGCTTGTAAGACTTGCCCTGGATCTGCTGATATACGGAGACTACTAGCCAACTAGTTTTCACTAGGATTTTCCTAACTGCCATGTTTATACTTCTGTGCTTACAGTGCAGAGCAGCTGTGCTCTTACCAGTCCCCTGGCTGCATCAGTGGAGGCATTGGGACTGTGGAGCACACTGTGGACCAGAGACGTGCTGGGGTTATATACTTCTCTTTCTAGAGCTGTTGCACTGTTTCTGTTCTTGGAGGGGAGTTCAGAATGTGTGTGTTATATTTGCTTGCAAACCCAAGTCCTTCTTCCAGTTTCTGCTGAACTGATCCAGAAATGGTAGACCACTTTTCTTCTTGAGGACTCTTGCACACTTTGTTTGGCTTACTGTTTGCTCTGCCTATTTGTTTGGAGAGAAAGCCTATGTGAACTGTTTGGCATTGCTTACTGCTAAGAGGCATCTGACTGAAATGAGAGCCTTCAGGACCTCTTTGCTTTGTGAATGTCTTTGTCAAGGGTTTCATATTTGGCTAGTGGTAACTTCCTGAAGCCTTCAAGAGAAGGTGATGGTGGTGGGAACTGCTCATCCTACTTTCTGGACATACCTTATATATGAGTAAGTATTTTCCCTTCTGCTTTTCGAAGAGCCTGATATATTTCCTATGTTGCATTTCAAAAAGTAAATTCCAACTTATCTTACTCTTTTACAGATTTTAAAGAACAAAGAAGCATCAGCACATCAGGCATATTCAGATCTAATGGCACAGCAAAGTAACACAATTGATGAGAATAAAAAACTCATAGGAAAGGTAAAAACGCTTGAGGAGATGTTGGAGAATATGAAGAAGCAAAAAATCCAAGTGGAACAGGAGCTCCCTAAAGTGAGGGAAACTGCAGAAAAAGAGCGGAAGAAGCAGCAAAAGGACATGGAAGAAATCTGTCTTCAGAAGACCAAGGCTGAGCAAGAGGCAAAGCAGTGTCGTATAGATCTAGAGAGCATGGCGAAAGAGAAAGCAGATGCAGAGCGGGAGCTGGAGTGTGTAAGGCAGTTCATTTTTCAGGCAGAGACTCAAAGAAGTGTACTGGAGGAAAACCTCCGTGCTTTTCGAAATCAAATAGAAGAAAGTGCCTTTACCAGAAGAAACTTGGAAGATCTTCTAAGAAGAAAAGGTACTAATCTTTATGATTTAGAGGAACAAAAAAAAACCTTAATGCAGGAGCTGAAGAAAAAAACAGACGGAGAGGAGAAACTTATGAAGCTTATCAAGCAAATGGAACAAGATCTTGAATTTAAAGGGAACCTATCAGAAATAAAGCTGCAAGAAAGAGAAAAAACTGAAGCTAGAAGGAAAGTTGTTGAAGGAAGTTACTCTGTAACTCGAGAAACCTCCCTGCCAACTTTCACTGCTGGGCAAGGCAGTCAGTGTAGGATTGACTCTGAAATTACAAGTTTCCAGAAGAAACTAGAAGCCAAAAAAGTAGAAGAGCTTAAACAGAAGATAGATGACTTAACCCTTGCTAACAAAAAAGCTGATAAAACTATTAAAGACCTGAAATATGAACTGAATGAAATTGAGCTTCAAAAATCATCAACAGAAGAAAAGTCTCGTTTATTAAAAGAAAAACTAGATAAAGTCAATAGTGAACTTAAATGCCTAAAAATTAGGTTGGAGGAAAAAGACCAAGTAGAGCAGGGGTATTTGCAACAGTTGAAAGAACTGGACAGGCAGCTACAGAGAGCCACAGGTAAAGCTGAAGAGGTGATGCAAGAAGCTATGGATCTTAAGAAAATTAAGATGAACTATCAGGAGGAGCTGAAATCTGTTCAGCAAGAGAAGACACAGCTAAAAAGAGAAGTAGAGGAATTAACCAGATCACAGACAAAAACTGAAATCACTATCAAGCATTTAAATTCACAAATCAGTTCTCTTCAAAAAGAGAAACTGGCAGCTGAACACAGAACACAGTCATGCAAAGGAGAAGCAAATAATCTTCAAGACCAATATAAGAAAATTAAGGAACAGTTGCTTCAAAAAACAAAAGTAGAGAAAGAAAACCAGCAGGAAATTCAGATGCTTAAGAATGAATTAGCCAAAAGCAATCAGTTGTCAGAAACATTGAAACGACAGATAGAGGACCTTAATAAATGGAATACTGAAACAAAACTACTGATGAAGCAAATTCAATCTGAATCAGAGAAGATGGCTTTGGAAAAACAAAATGTTCAGAGGAAAAATGACGCATTAAAAGCCCTAGCAGATGGTTTCAAAGAACAATTGCACACAACAAATGAACAATTGCATAAGCAAACAATAATTGAACAAGAATTCATGTGTAAAATTAAAGGCCTAGAAGTTGATCTAGCAAAAACAAAAGACCTAGCTAGTGAATATAAACAAAAGTGTGATAAACAAAGTGCTTCCACCCTAACCATTAACCAGGAGGTTAAAAATTTAAATGCTCAAATGAATGCTCTAGCCATGGAAAAGAGAATGAGTGAGCAGAAGATTCAACTACAACAAACTCATATACAAGACTTAAGTAGCAAATTAAAAAAATTGCAGGATGAGCTCCATCAGAAGACTCTGGATGAACAGATGGCACGCAAGAAGATGATTCTGTTTCAGGAAGAATCCATTAAGTTTAAACACTCTGCAGAGGAATTTAGGAAAAAAGTTGAAAAATTACTAGAATCCCATAGCATCACAGAAAAGGACATTTCTGGCATAAAACTAGAATGTGTTGCTCTTCAGCAGGAAAAGCATATGGCCGAGGAAAACATCATGTTGTACAAGAGGCAAATGGAAGATCTGCAAGAAAGGCTTAAAAAATGTCATGAACAACTACAGCAAGGGAAGCAGGCTGAAATGGACCATCACCAGAAGTGCAGGAAACTTGAGGAAGAATTGGAAGTGCAGAAGCGCATGGTTGAGAGCTTGAAACAGAAAATGGATTTGCAGGTCAGGGAGAGTGAACACAGGTTTTTTTTGTTACAGAATGAAGTTCAGCAAAGTAATAAGCTCCAAGATTCTGGATTTAAATTGAGCTGTGAGAGAAGAGGGAATGATTTCAGTTACCCGAGTGATGCTGCAGCTAAAGAATTTGAACAGCTTCCTCCACATACAAAACCAAGCTCACCTTTGTTAAGGCAGAAACAGGAGAGATCAGGTTTTAAATCTGATCAAATAGAAGAAAATACATTGTACATGAGTGCTGATGATAAAATACCGAGAGAGGTGCAGTTCCAGATGTCAACCATAAACCAATCTTTAGAAGATTCAAGCTCACAGTCTTTTACAGAGTTTGTTTCACAAATGAGTACACAGTTCCACATAACTTTTGATAAAGCAAGCCAAATATCTGGAACCACTGAAAAGGACACATTGAGAAACAGGAACCTGCACAGTTCCAGACAAACTATTAGACATGGAGAAGACACAAAACATGAATTAGGAGTGGTAAAACTGCATCCCTTGGAGGTACACACTACATTTTGTGAGGATTTGCCTTCCTAGTCTGCTCTTTATTATAGTCTGTTTGTTTGTTTTTAGTTATACTTTATCACTACTCTCTCTAATGTTTCTTATGTTCCTACTTTGGTGAAGGGAACCCCTTCATTCTTATGCAACACAAAAAGCTTTTCATTAGACCTCAGTACCAGATTCTTTAATATTTAAGAAACATTATTTTAAAAGTTTGTGTTGGAAATAGAAATTCACATACACCATTGTATCATTATTGGTCAAAATAAGCTTTGATTAACAGTAGTAGGTTCACATAGTAGCAACAACAGTTATTGATGCTTAGTCTAGTCATATTCCTATTATTGAATAAATATTTTAAATGGCAAATGCACTTCAAAACTCTAACTATCTGTGTTTCTTTTCTCTCTAATGCTAGTAGCAGTTCTCCTTTCTGACTTGCATTCAAGTTCTCCCTTTGATTTCTCTGGTGGTGGATTTAGGAGTGAATTACGTACAGAACAGTCTGAGGTTGTATTTCTCACTGTGTCAAAAAATTCCTATTTACAGATAGTGAAGAACAAGCACTATGACATGCATGTTGAACTCACAACATTAAACCAAGAAAATGACAAGACGTTTGGTAATGAAGAGAGAATGTTTGAGGAATACAAAACATCCGAAGGGTTTAGGAAAGAAGACTTTGCAAAGATGAGCTCTTTCCTAGGGGAAGAGATTTTGAGAACCGTTGATGATGCTACTCAGCAGGAATATTTTACAGAGGAGTATGATGCTATTAAATTTGAAGGTCTCCGACATGATGTAACTGCCAGACAGTTGATCGAAGTTAAACTTTTAGACAGGCTGACAGCTGAGCAGCTTATTTCAGGGCAGAAAACTACTGATGAGATTCAGAAAACTCTTGAAAAATTTTTAACTAAACCTACAGCTATAGCTGGGCTGTACCTTGAATCCAGCAAAGAGATACTCTCTTTTGCTTTAGCAGCAAAGAGAAGAATCATAGGAAAAGCACTGGCATTAGCATTTTTAGAGGCCCAAGCAGCTACTGGTTTCATCATTGATCCCACAACAGGTCAGAAATTCTCTGTTGATGATTCGGTTGTTAGAGGGCTTGCAGATAGTGAATTCAAGAGTAGACTGCTTGAGGCAGAGAAAGCTGTTTTGGGCTATTGCTGTTCTGGGAAAGTGCTCTCTGTGTTTCAGGCTGTGGAAGCTAGACTTTTAGAGAGACAAAAAGGTAAAAATATCCTTGAGGCTCAAATTGCAAGTGGGGGGGTAATTGATCCTGTAAGAAGTGTTCGCGTACCTCCAGAAACTGCCGTGCATCTTGGCTTGCTTAATAACACAATTTTAAAATTTTTGCATGAACCTTCTAGTAATGCAAAATGTTTTTACAATCCAAATAACAGGAAAGCTATGTACTACTGTGATTTGCTGAAAATGTGTTTGTTCAGTGTAAGCAGTAAATGCTTTCTGCTTCCAGCTGGTGAAAGGAAAATAAGCAGCCCATCAGCAGAGAAAAGTCATAAAATTTCTGTAGTAGATGTCAACACAGGAGCTGAAATGACATCATACGAGGCTTATAAAAAGAAATGTATTGATAAAGCTACATATCTTGAGCTTTCGAAACAGGAATTTGATTGGAAGGAGTCTACGTGTTTTGACTCTGATGGGAATTCTTTTCTTTTGCTTACAGATCTTAAATCTGGCATACAGTTTAATATTGAGGAGACCTTAAGTCAAGGTAGAATTGACAGAGCATCAGTTGATAAATATAAGGAGGGCTTAATCACAGTTAATGAGTTTGGTGATATTTTAGTTAGCAGTTCACAGCCAAATAAAGATTTAAACAGTCCTATTGCAGGGTTCTGGCTTTCTGAAACCAACGAAAGAATTCCAGTCTTGAAAGCTTCACGTAAAAACTTGGTAGACAGAGTTACTGCCCTTCGATGTCTTGAAGCTCAGGTTAGCACAGGAGGTATAATTGATCCATTTACTGGGAAAAAGTACAGTGTTTCAGAAGCTTTGCAAAGGGAGTTAATTGATGACGGTTGTGCCAAGCAAATCCAGCAGTGTGAGCTGATCTTTACTGGGATCATTCATCCTGTAAGGAACACTGTTATGTCAGCCGTTGAAGCTGTGCATTTAAATGCCATAGACAAAGAAATGGGCATGCGCTGCCTGGAGTATCAGTACTTGACTGGTGGCTTGATAGATCCAAAGTCTCATTCCAGGTTAACAATGGAAGATGCAATTAAGAGTGGTATTATTGATGCTGCCACAGCTACAAAGATGAAGGGTGAAAAATTGCATGCTAAAGTTTTAACATGCCCCAAAACTAAGAAGAAGATAACCTATAAAGAAGCTTTAGAGAGAGCTGTTTTTGATTGCCACACTGGACTGCGGTTGTTAGAAGCAACTCAGCCCATAAAAACAGGAATTTCCAGTCTTTACTATAATTCATAGTGGACAAAAGATATTAGTACTCATTTTGGGCCCTACTTTAAAACCCATTCAAGTTAAGGAAATGTGATGGCCTTTGTGGACAATCATAAATGTTTTCTAGCATAGTAATGAATTGCTGTAAAACTAATTGTTACAAACCACTTATTAGTATAAACCACTGAAACTGGAATTAGATATTACTTATTGCAAAACTGAAATTTATAGACAGGCAGATTCGTAATTTCAAAGTGCAATCTATGTGTTCAGTCTTTCCCTGAAGGCCTTCTCTGACATTACCTACATACAGGTAGTGTGAATGAGAAATTATACTCAAGCTGGTGAAGTTAATATTAGTGCAAGATGGGTAGATTTAGGTGAGACAAGGATCATATCCTTACATTAAAGATTGAAAGAGATTGCCCATTTTATGAATGAACACAGTGCAGTATTTCATGTGACCTGTTACTTAATTTAATATTACAAATCAGTTTGTAGATATCATTTATTTTACAAAAGTGGCAATAAAATATACAAGGATTAAGTCTGCAGTGCAGTAAACACACATGCATAAGTACTTTTTCTCACACTGGTATTTAATTAATTTCATTGGGCTACTTACACTATAAAGTTGTAAGTTTTTCTCTCACTCCAGGTAACTTTTTTTCTTTAGAAAAGTTTTCATGCTCTAATAGGCAAATGAATTACAATTGCATATCAAATAAAAAAAGTCCATTGAAATAAAATGCCTTTATTTTTACTTGTGATACATGGAAGGGCTTAAGCATGTTTTCTCAGTATTGATGAATGTCCACCTACTAACAGGTTGTACTTATAATAAAAGGAATATGTTTTTCTGTGCAGAAAAAAATTAAATGTCTCAGTATTTTACTGTTATTGTTCTTGTTTCTGTAGACATAAAGGCAATGTATTCTTCCAATTATAATTTAGTAATCTATGTGCATATATTGCAAAATACTGTTATCCTATGCTGGCTGTACATATCCACACCTGAGGGTAATGCAAAGGCAGCAATTCAAAGATACTTTATATGCAATTTTTTTTAGATTTTTATTTGCTGAGTAATAACTGGATAGCTATGCTTTTTCCTTTTATCAATAATTTTATAATGATTGTATGTGTGTATGAATAAGCACCTTTATAATAATAACAAATCATTTGAGGTATTATTTTGTTAATATCTCTGTGACATTTTTGTTCCTACATCAAAGTGTCATAGTAATGCATGTGGTGATAAATAAAAAGAAATCATTTTATGTTTATGTGATAATAATGACATTATGGTAGAGTTGTGTTTGTATGAATGTTAATGTTACATATTTCAACAATTTACTTTTACGTTTCTTACAATTCGTGGTGCTCCTCAGAAATCAATGGAAGAGGAAAAGAAGGAACATGTTGAGAAAGCTGGGGATTTACTAAAATGGGTGTCAAACCTCAGCAAGACACTCAGCAAAGAAGAAGGAGAAAAGGCTGAAAAGACAGACTTGCCTAAACAGCAGGTACACAGATGTCTTTTTAGGTTTTTACCAAAATATTCCATAAATACTTTTTTTCTTGCGAATCCCCATCCACATTTTCCTCAAGGTGTAATTTCACGTTTGGTTGTGAGTGGAGGGCTGGGTACATGAACATCAATGTTTAGGGACACAAGCATGTTACTCAGGAAGAAGTTCACACTGCTTTTTACAGATCTAGTGTGTGATGTATTCTGACACTGCAGAATATCAGTTTAGAGAAACTGGACACTGCACACCATAACTCAACCTTTGTAGAGGGTCAGCGCATCTTGGCAGATTGGCGCTTTGGGCACCAGGAAGGAGGAAGCTGCTAGGACGGTCCTGAAAGCCAGGTTTCTATTTATTTGCTTTTGAAAAGATATTCAGATGGGTCTTCTTAAGGAATAGTAAAAACTGCTGTCCTAGGAAGTACAGGAGCTGTTGGCTGAGGCTTTTATTATCGCACTACAGGCTGCTGGAGTGGCCCATCTTGAAGCCTTTGTATTTAACAGGTACATTGTCACTGCGTACAGTTGTAACTTTGACCATAAATTTCCATCTGTGAAGTTTCCTATAATTTTTAGGAGCTCCCCTAAATGTCCCACGAAATAGCTTAGTGACACCTAAAAAGATTTCAGTAGGTGAAGGTCTGCCTGTGTAGTGAGCAGCACAGGCACAGAGTGGTGACTTATCCACATACCTCAGTATAGGACCTGATGTGTGGTCCTGCACACATGATTTTGGCCCTCTTTGCAGCCTGTTCCTGTGTTTTTATTTTGATGACCCATGCAGGTGCTGGTTAGACCCACTGGAGCAGCGTGTGTGTAAATCAAGCTTGCTGTTGGGCAGGTCAGCAAACCTGCAGTCCTGATGGCCACCAGACCCAGCACACTGCTTGTTCATAGAGAAGCAGTGCAAGCTCTGAGTTTGTGCCTATATATGTAGGATGAAGTAAGCTTGTATTGATTTGAGCATACTGATTGTTAACTTGCTAGTAGTTAGGATCAGGATTTGGAAAAACATTCAGTGCTGCTCCTTTTCTGCCCTTGTTAATGATAATGCTGCAAACCTTTGTCAGCGATGAGCCAGTGCTCGATCCTTAGGGCATCTCAGCTTACCACACTACCTGTGGGTGTCATTTCCCCTGTCCAGCCTGAGCACTCAGTGAATAACCTGTGAATTAGCTGCCTTGGCTTCCTCCATGACACGCTCCCTTGCTGTGGAAGACGGGCATTTGCTGAGAGTGTTTGCTTCTCTTGTGAAACAACCTATTGAGGTAGCAGCAGCGAAAGTGGTGATTTGATAGCTGAAATACATTATGGTTGCTGTGGGGTGTAACCATGTTCTGGGAGGAGAAGCTGGTACCAATGGTGACAGGGTGCACACAGCAGCCGCAGCGACACTGGTTTCCTGAGTAAAGTGGAGCTTGCGATCCCACCGGCTACCTCAGCCTGCTCTCATCACGTTCTTGTGTAGCGCATACAGTGCTTCTCTTGGTTCCTGTACAAGCAGCACAAGTGGTGAGATTGTGGCCTGCTCGTGGTGACTGCAAAGTGAGATTTTTCAGGCCCTTTAACACAATTCAGTCAAGGACAGAACTGGTTGAGTCCAGGCCCAGGTGAATGCAGGGCCCAAGCACCTTGCTGAAGTTCTCTTAGCATCTACATTGAACGTATCTTCAGCTTGCAGACTCCTCTTTGATAATTTGCCTTTATTTATCCAAAATGACTGCAGGGAGTTTCTCAGAAAAATTAAAAGATTAAATTCCCACAACTTCCCCTGCCACAATGAGTGCTTTAGTGGGGATGACAGAACTGATAGTGGGGAGAATATTAATAAATAATTCATTTTTTCAACCGTCTGATATTGCATTTGTCTCTGATGTTGTATTTCATGAAGGCTTTTGGTCTTCTGATACATTTTTAAAAAAGATATGTTAAAAAAGATATGTTATCTTTCATTTTGGTGAGCAACTTCTTAAACATGACCATTGTACACATACCTTTATAAAGCTGCTATAAACTGTGCCAACTACAAGTGATTTTAAATGATTGGTTAATTTTCATACAAATAACATTTTAAAATCTATTTGTTTTGCTTTATAGTCTTCTAATACAAACAGCTTACTTAATGAAAAGGCATAGCACAATGACTTATCCATATGTAAATGATACAATTACATAATAAATAATATTGCTCTAAGGATAGCCAGTATTTAAAAAAAATCCAACTCTTACATTATTGAGATTAATTCCAGACAGAAATACTATTTTGTTTGTTTGTTTCATTTATGTACATAGTTAAGTCTTGAACACAATTTGCTTCTTTTTCAGATTTCCCTGCATGAAATGTCAACCAAGAAAGAACAAATAGCTGAAGCTCTGCAGACTACTCAGTCATTTTTAGCTAAGCACAGTGATAAGTATGCCATTTTTTATTTTTCAAATAATATAAATTAATTGAATCAATACATACTATTTGGTTAAAAATAAATCCTGTCCTCATATTACTGTTCCAGTTGCATTTCATGTGCAAGTATGTGAGTTCGGGAGTTTTTTGCCTTCCTGTTTGGTGAAGCTTGGTGCAGTTTTGTCAATTTCAAGAACTTGGCTTGTTTTATATACCTCTGGTCAGCTTAAAAATATTAGATATTTTAATTTTTATTTGGAGTCAAAATAATTTACAAATTCATAACAAATTAGTACTTGAACTACATGTCACAAGGTTGTTTCATCTGTGTCTGAAAAAAAACTGTTTAAGATACTAAATTGCTGAAATATCTCATGACTGCTTGCTAGTTTTGTTACCTGTCTTTGAGAATCAGTAGACAAAGGCACATGCAAAGGTTAAATACTTCTTTTCCTGAATAACTGCAAGCAGTTTGTAGCTTTCTTGACCATCTTCATAATTAGGCTGTATTTTTTCCAGATTACTTGTACCAATTTCTGCCCCACTTTTTTAAGTAAAGGTAGGTAGATCACTCCCAATAGGTTATGAATTACCCAAAGAGATCCTTTCTTTTTTCATAATAGAATGACCGATGAAGAAAGACATGAAATGGAAAAGCAAGTCAGATCTCTCCAGGAGAGCTACAGCTTGTTATCCAATGAAGCTTTAAAGCAGCTGCAGGAAGCGCAGTATCTGAGTGATGAAAAGATGGAAGAAAAGGTAACAAGATAGAAACTTAGATTTCAGTCTCTCTTGAGTTTTACTGCATGATTTTCAAACCCCACATGATCAGCAAAAGAAGAAGCTGCAACTAACAGTGTGTGGAAGAAACTTGAGATTTAGTTGACTGAAGGTGTTATGTATTTTCTGTAAAATACTGTGTGTGACCTCACCTGTGCATATGAACATTCTACTCATCAGACTTCTTTCGTGAAGAGTCTTAATAATGTGTGCCTTGCATGAAGAAAGATAAACAAATCATTCATCTCTTAACTCTTCTCTTAAAAGCCATTCTTTGACTGCTAAATAAACCTGCGTTTCTGCTGCAAAAATGACACCATAAAATAACATGATAATCTCTCCCATATATCATTCAGAAATGTCCTAGAAGAGATCTACTTTCAGTTTTTCTTAAAATTTTTCTACATTTGAAAATGGGAACACATAACATGATTAGCTCTGAGGCACTACAAATACATTTGTTGATGGATATTAATTTTAAATATGGAGTTCTCAAAAATTATCTTGCAAAGGAGTGTTCTCATATACAGGCAGTGTCTGTGTAATGAGTTCAGATAATGTTGCGGAACTGACTTCATGCTTTTCATGCAAACTAAATGCAATATTTGGTGCTAGAGTATCTGATTCCATATTGTTGAGTGTATATACAGAAATGCTGTATGCTGTAAACATGAATAGCATGGTTGTGTTGAATCACATACTGTTTCCAAATATTCTAACCTTTCACAAGACATTTATAGCATGAAAATTTGCCTTTCAGGTATATGTTCTATTTGCTCACTCTGCAATCATATCTTCTATTATCTTTCACTAACCCTATGTATGTATGCAAAGCATAGGTTTTCAATTCACAGATGCATGTTGATTTTAAATCTTTTATCACATCGTGTGCTATTGAGTGACTGACATAGATCACTTGCGCATTTGAGCTGCTAACATTCACAGCATTTCGCCAGGCCTGGTAAGTACATGTTTTTCTGCTTATCATGCATTCAAAATCAAAAGAAAATTTAAAATATATAGCCCAAAAATATTGATATCTTCCCTTTTATATTCCTTTCTAGGTGAATAAAGTCATTGCTGGTGTCATTGATCAAACTACTGGAGAAGTCTTTTCAGTCTTTCAGTCTATTTTAAGAGGTTTTCTTGACTATGACACTGGAATTAGATTGCTCGAGAACCAGCTGATTTTTTCTGGAATCATTTCTCCAGAGTTAGGAGTGTGTTATGATTTGGAAGAAGCTAAAGCTCATGCCTTAATTGATGAGCAGATTCTATTGCAGTTGCAGGAATTAAGTAATGCAAAAAAGCTTATTTCAGAATCATCATTATCAAATATTCCAGTTGTTTCAGTTTTAGAACAAGGTCTAATTTCAGAACCTTTGGCTATTAAAATTCTTGAGAATCAGCTTTCAAGTGGGTATTTGATTTTGCCATCTACTGGAGACAAGCTGACTTTTCAGAGTGCTTTCCAGAGAAACCTGATTTCTCCAACATTATATGCAAAACTCCTGGAAAGACAAGACACATGTAAAGATCTCATAGACCCCAACTGTGCTGAGAAAATTTCCCTTGAACAGATGATTCATAGAAGCATAATACATGAAGAAACAGGGTTAAGACTCCTACCTGTGAAACCACAAGAAAAAGGTAGAATTGTGTTAAAATGTGGAAGGAGGATAACTATTTTGAGGGCAGCCCATGAAGGGCTCATTGATCGGGAAACAATGTTCAGGATGCTGGGTGCTCAGTTAATGTCTGGAGGTATCATTGACCCTGACTCAGGGAAACGAATGACTGTGGAAGAGGCCGTGAGACAAGGGGTGATAGATCAGGACACTGCTTGCGGGATCCTCACACATCAGGTTCAGACGGGTGGAATCCTTTGTCAAAATTCAGGGCAACGGTTGACTGTTGATGAAGCTGTACAATGCAACTTAATATCATCTACCAGTGCCCTGCTGGTATTGGAAGCACAGAAGGGCTTTGTGGGATTAATTTGGCCTCACACTGGTGAAATATTCCCTGTATCAACTTCTTTACACCAAGATATGATAACAAATGAGCTGGCATTCAAAATACTGAATGATAGAAAGAGAATAGCTGCACTTTACATTCCAGAAACTTGTGAAATAATCAGTCTTGACAAGGCTGCAGAATCAGGGATCATAGATAGCAATACTTTATCTGTTTTGACCAATGTGACTTTACCAGATAAAATGCCCAATGTAGAAGAATTAAAGTCCCCTTGTAAAAATGCTGCAAAATGGTTATCAACATATGAATTTCTGCCATCTGTATTTCATGACTGTGAGGAGGAACATGAAGATTGTGGCACAGATGACCCTGTGTGTCATAATTTAGATCAAGCTAAGAAACTATTCATATCTTACCTGATGGTAAATAGTTATATGGATGCAAACACTGGAGGAAGACTTTTGTTGTATGATGGACAACTGCAAGAAGCAATCAATATGTTGCTGGAAGGTGATGGTGCTGCATGCAATGCTGGTGTGTCAGAAATGGAGTTAAGTAACAAATATGTAAGCTCAAAAGGAATTAACTTAAAGTCAGCAGACAGTGTTCAGGGTGACCTTTTGGGTGTTGAGAATGCTTCTAAAAGCAGGAAATTAAATCAGTTTGGTGATTTGGGGAATTACATACCTTCACAAGAAGATCTCCATGAGTGCGGACCAGATGTTTGCAATGCTATTGACACTGAGCAATCAGAATATACACAGGAGATGTTGTTAACTCTACCTGCAGAACTCAGAAATGTAGTAAGTAACGCTCAAAATTCCATGAACAGAAATGCACTCAGAGGTTTTTTGGAGGTTTCTAAGTGGACAGAACTGTATAAGCATAACAATCAGCAGGCAAGTTCAGGAAGTATTGAGGGGTATCTTCCAAATGACTTCAATCCAAGTCTTATTTCAGAAACAGGGAAGGAAGAGATTTATATGGGTGACAGTCTGGGTTATGAAAACAGGGGTGATAAAAGCCTACAAAATTCCTTGAATGTGGATGATTTGTCAGATAAGAAAAGCTGGAGGGAGCTGGAAAGGTGCGCAGAATACAGGCCTCAGATATTGCAAACTGACGGTAGCAGAATGGTATTGGATAACAGCAAGAAAGATGATTTTCAGAGAAGTCTTTGTTCATCCATCAGTGCAGACACTGTATATAGACTTCCAGAAGAATCTGGTAGTCAATGTGGCGACACACTACAGTTCGAAGACAATGGACACAGTGAGCAACCTCTACAGGAATATGCTGATGTACCTAACAGACCATCCTTAGAGGGCTATCTTTATATACATAGAAGGCCATCATTGGAGGATTGTATTGATTTTCAGAGTAAACTGTGTCTAGAAGACAGTAGAGATGTGCACCACAGACCTTTGTTGGTTGGCAGTACTGTTATACACGATGGACCAGCTATGGGGGACAGTAACAGCACTGCACAAGGGCTGACAGTAGAAGAAAGTGATCTTACATTCCACAGGTTAGTGCCATGTTACACTAGTTCTGACTCGTCAGTAGATGGGAGTGATGGCATTCCACAACTTGAAAGTACCTGCTTGCAGCAAGAGTGTGGTGAGGTAGCCTCTGAAGATGACAGCTCTCCGTTTGATGAGGATGATGATGATGCCTATGAAACACCTCAGGCTGATGATGACGACAGTGATGTCTATAACACTCCTCAAATTGATGATGATGATTCCTCTGACACTTCTCAAGGTGATAAGGGATTTGATACCTTGAAGTTGGGGGATGATGATACACCAGAGCCAGAACTGGCTGGAAGATCTCCTCCAGTTTTTCTGGAGGAGAGAGGTGGTCTAATAGCCCTAAGAGAAGAGACCACCTCTTTTCAAGAACTTGGAGCTAATGCTAAAGAGAATGTCCATGTAAATGGGAAAAAGCAACCTGAGAGCATAAATACAGCTTCTGCAAGTGCCAAAGCCATGGAAAGAATCCCTAAGGAGGATAGGGAAAGAAAAGGAAGTTTTGGAGAGAAGGAGCAAGAGTTACCAGTTACTGTGGAGAGTGAAGGAAGAAAGGAGGGAGGCATAAGTTCTTTACAGGAGATGTGTGAAGCAGATGTACAAGACAGAAATGAGCAAGTTGAAATGAAAGCAGAAAGTGATTCCTATGAGGATGAATCTGAAGGTACACAGGAGGGGGAAGATTATGAGGAGGATTATGATAGTTATGATGACTCTGACACTGATTCTGACAGTGAAGATGAAATGAATATTTTTTATTCACATCATCAGTGTGTAGATAAAGGGGACCAGCTGTTAATTTCCTTAGGAGATGTAGAAAGAAGCAATGAACATAATCAGAATATTGATGACTGTTGCTATTCTTTAGGCCACAAGACAGGATATACTTCACAATTCCAGTCTACCCATGAAAATGGAAATCTGTCTTCAAGAAAATGTGAATCAATGTCACATGTTTTTGAGGAAAGATATGTTGATATTTCATGTACAAGCAAAGAAGACAGACAGCAAGAAACAGAAGATGAATATGGGACTTATGTCAAAAATAAACACATGTTACAAGATACTACTGAACCTATTCAGTTGGAAAATACCCTTGACACTAAATGGGCATTCTCTACAAGTGAAGGAAATAATGAAGCACGGCTTAAGGTTCCAGGTTCTCAGCTTCTTGATGGTATTGTGAAATCTGATGTCAGTGTAACAGCCTACCTGACAACAAAGCAAGCTACTGATAATGATGAAAGTACTTGGTCAGATTTGCTTCTCTCAGAATGCTTTACTGATAGCACGAATAAAGACAACAGTACCGTGCCAATGTTAGATTCAAATCATGGGCAAAGACAGAAAGGAGCAGTAGTTGCAGAGGAAAAAGTATTAAATGATATGGAACAACTAAAGGAAAGTTCATCCCAAATGGACAATAAATTCCCTATAGATATGCATTACGTGAATGATGATAATGATAGCTCACTTAGGGACCCAGTAGATCCAGTCACCAGTTGGAAGCATGGTCAAATAGGAAGAGGTTTTGAAATTCTTTCAGAAAGTAAAAATAGAGTAAATATTATAGAGGAATGTGATATCATGGGACTAAGTAAAAGTCCCATTCAGATGGAAAGCCTTGGGGAAATATTTGATGCATCAGTAATTAAAGCTGATAGAGAAACTTCTGTTGCAAGTAAAGAAAAAGTAACTGTTGATCAAGCTTTCTTTGACATTCGAGTTGCAAGATCAGATGAATTTAGGAGAGATGCTAACATTCCTCCTTCTTTAAAACAATATACAAAAGGCATAAAAGAAGGTGGCCATTCAGAACTGGGTAAAACTGAATTCTCCTGTTTTGAGGACACAGAAAGAGAGAAAAAAGGTATAGAGATTGAAAAGGATTTTCTTCTAAATACAGAAGAAACGCATTCAAGTGAATTTAATGCTTACTCTTTTCCCCCAACTGATACAGTGAAACCAAAGGAAATTAGCGTAACTAAAGAAACAGGGAGAGTTATCTGTCAAAATACTGCCAATGTTCTTAAAGACTCTTCAGAACACAGAAGCAGCAATGACAATGAAATTTCCCCCATAAAACCAGATGCTTTAGGAAGTATTGAGGATGCCAGAGAATCAGGGGATGGAAGTGAAGTGCTGTCTTCTGGGAGACTTACCCATACCACTGATGTTTCTTCTGCAATTCTGAGTAGCATAGGAGCTGACTTGAATTATGGTGCCCAGAAAGAATATGAGATGCTGAAAAACAAAAAGGGAGAAAATTTCATGTCCCTTGAAAATGGTTTCAAAAACCAAATGTCCATGGAGTCATTGCAAAAGGAAACGGGACCTTGCAAAGATTTTCAAGTAAAGGAAGGTATTTCACAATCACCAGAAATATCTGACACACTAATGGAAGACTTACAGAATATATTACAAAGGAAATTGAAAATGGGATGTGCTTACTGCAAGCAGGAAGCTGAATCTTTAAGTTACTCTGATACCAAAACTTTAATGCAAAATTTACTCACAATGGTTGGAAGCACCCAGCTTGTGAGTGAAAAGTCTAGTGGGTCAAATCTCAAGCAAACGAGCAGTTCTGTTAGAACTGCATTAATGTTTACCACACCGTGTGCAGAGCCCAAGGACAGTGATGCTCCTTCATTGCTTTGGCCTGATTACAGAAGTCCTGATCTTCTTCATGATATTCTGAAGCAGGAATCCTGCAAGCAAAAGATGACTGATGTAGATAAAAGGAGGAATGAAACAGACGTGAAAGCTCCTGTTCCTAAGCCGACTATTTCTGAACTTCTGGAGATTTTTCAAATCTCACCTGGAGATGAAAGTACAAGCAAGTTAGAGGAGCTGATAATTGGTTTCCTTATGAACTCACAGGTTGCTGGTACCACCACAGAACACGAGGATAAAGGAAAAGTAGGTGGACTTTGTACTCTTTTCTCAACAGAACAATCAGAGTTTGGATCAGAAATTTCTAAAGAGAAAACATTGGCAGATAATGCAACTGTTGCTTGGAAAAGTGACCAGGAGCATGGGAAGACAGACAGCCCATCCAAAGACTTGACTGAGTCTGTTTTCAAAACAAAAGAAGCAGTCCTGGAAGATGCCCACACTAGCATGGTGAGTAACAACAGCTGATATGTTCTCAGTGTCCTATATTAAAGGAATTGCATGAATCCTTCCAAATACTGGAGAGAATAATTGAACTGGAAAAATGGTTGAAAAATTAAATGATAAATTTAAAATTAATCATAATAAACCCAAGGACTTTTATTGCTAATTTTCAATTCTGTCAGTTTGGAAAACCTTCTCTTATTTTTAAAACTCATTTTCAGTTTGATGGAATACAGCAGTGTTTAACATTAATAGAGAAAATACAAGGACATTTGGCAGTGCTTCAAGATATGAAAAGCCACCTAGATAACCAGCAGCCTGTTAGTAACAACCTGGAAATACTAAGAGATGAACTGAAACAGCTAGAGGTAAGTAATGTGTTCTTTATGCTTGTACTTCAGTAATGGATGCTAGGAATAGTCCTTAGATTAAACAAAGAGAGACTTAAAATGTAATTAATGTAATTCAGATTAAAATGTCTTTCTTAATAACTTAATCCATTCTATATGTGTTCTTTTCATAGTCATTTGAATCAGGACTGGCTACGTTTGCAATTGTCCTAAAAAAGGACATGAAGTTAACAGAAGAATTCTTAAAGTTTTGTAACAGAGATATTCCAGAAGAGAAACTTAAAGAGCTAAAGATAAGATATGACTACTTACAGGAAGCATTTTTGGTGGTCTGTGATACATCTTCAAAACGAGCAAAACAAATACTCTATGCTGTTGACTCAGAAATGGTATGTTTTTATCACTGTATGTTTTACCTTGGTTTTCTTCAAGGTAATTGGGCTAAAATGAAGGAATTTGGTTTTGCTTTCTTTTGTTTCATCTTAGTATAAAAATACATGTACGATTCAATTCAATATGGTAGAAAGTGTGACTAGACTCCAGGAGCACAAATAAATATACAACTTCCCTTTCCAGTCTAAGCTTGGAATATTACACGAGCAACTTTTAAGTAAACTGCAGAGATTTTCAGACTGGATCACAGAGAACAGTAAAATAATGAATGACTTCACCATAAATACTAATGATGTAGAGGAGATGAAGAGAAGCTTACAGCTATTTAAAGTAAGTATTCTTTATGGCAGGTGTTGGTGTTTCTGATAAATGTTGGTCCTTACTATGAATTATTAGCTAGGTTTTGTATTCAGGCTCATTAATCTTTATCACTTAAACAGATGGCTAGAAGTAATTACTTAAGAAACAACTACTTGATAATCCAGTAATAAAATCTTGTTGATGTGCATTTTCCCTTGCAAAAAACGTTTGATAAAGTTAGGATTACTGAGAAAGCTATTGGTTCTGCTTACTTTCGTTAATCTGAAACTTTCAGAAATCTAATTTATAATACAAATATTTCAGTGATTGGATCTTTATGCATAAGGTTCAGAATCTTTACTGAAATTTAATTACCTTTCAAATCAATTATATGTGAGAACACAAGTTAGGATAAAAAGTCCCTTCATTACACACTCCATAAATTCATCATCATGAAAAACAAATCAGATCAAATTTTTAGAGAAGTTCATACACCTCTGTATATATGAATAAAACTTATTTTAATTGTTTTTATGTGCTTTAATAAAGTTCTGGTATACATGGTAATCTCATAGGGGTTCCACAATATGTAACTACTGGCAGAATTTGCCCCATTGCTAGGAATAGGACTTCTCTTTGTGAAGTTAAAAATAAGAATGATTTCAAGTAAATATTTTGACATTTCTGGGTCTTCAGACCTGGAACATTGAAATGTTACACCTAACTTGCCATAAATCTTCCATAGTTGAATGACAGTCAGTTGTGAGACATCCATGAGAGAGTAAAGAAATAGCGATGTGCAAGATCACATTATTTGTTGCTTGAAAACAGACTGTCCTGAGAGAAACCATGCACAAATCCTAATGTCATAGCTGAATACATCAGAATGATTCTGAGTTTTGATTTACTGTGGCCAAACTGTCTAGCAAAAGCATTTTGGAACAGGGGCTAAGAAAAGATGATAGGGATACTTGTGGTTTATTTGTACTGACTTTTTTCTTCATTGCTAGTAATTCCCTTCGCTTCATTTACAGAACAATGCTGCAGAGTTCAGCTGTGAAAAAACGCAACTGGAGTCCACTGCATTTGATGTTCAGTTTTTCATTTCTGAACATGCTGAAGATCTTTCTCCTAGTCAGAGCAAACAGCTGCTGAGGCTCTTAAATACCACCCAGAAATCTTTTCAGGAAGCACAGGAAGCAATAACTACTCAAGTGGAAAGTTTAGAGACTCAGTTACAGGCAGTGCAAGAGCTGGGTGCTCAGAAGGTTTGCTTTTCTGTGTAAATGTGCATTAAGTGTTTTGTCTATGGATGAGGAATTTGAATACTAGCATGCAGTATTGAGTGTATTCCTATCTTTTCCCTTTTTACTACAGATACATTCGTAGTTCTGCAAAGTTGGTATTGCTCAAGTTTGGTGAATTATCATTTTTGCCTTTCTTGGTATAGTCACAGAAACAGCATATTAGATTATGGACAGACACAGGTCTGCTCTTTGTAGCCATGAGAGAAATTTACTTGAGATTTCTCACAAGTGTTGTTTCTTTAGCAGCTATATCAGTAATTGGTCTGAGCTATATTAATCACTGAATTTACTATCACAACATTGCTTATCGCTTCTGTCTTGATTTTCTTTTCCTTTAATTGGCCAGGTTGTCTGCTTATATTTATAGTAGTGTGCTTATCTTTATAGTTAAAGAACCAGATTTGTTAAAATCCTGGCTACCATGGCTTGTTTTGACTGAGACAGGTTAGAGGGACTAACATATGAGTAAATCAGCCAAGATATTTGCAGTTCTAGGCATGGGCACCAGGAAAGCTCTGAGTCAAGTTGTAACAGTTGTCTTCAGCTGGCATGGATGCAGTTGGCAAGTGCAAGCAGCCTTTGTAGGGTAAAAGGAGGCTGATAAGATACTGCAGCATAACTACATCTCGTCTTACAGAAGCACTCTTAAGACTCAGAATCACCACCTCAGCCCCCATTTTATGCATAATGAAAAGTGCCTTAGCATTCTGTAGACTTTGTATTATTTAGCCATTCTAAGAACATTTGTTTCCACCATATTTTGTGAAAGAAGCATAAAATTGAGTATAGGAAAGGCACAGATAAGATTTCTAGGATTTTGTAACAATAATCAGCTTGCGTGTTTTGTTCTACTGTACTGCTTAAAAAGTCCACAGTTTCTATTCAGGTAACATATTTTGCATACCAACAAGAGCTAACTCACATTCACAACTAACCTCTGTTTTGATGTCCTTTTTTCAGAATTAATAGTGTTTATCACAGGTTCCAAGTGGTTAAGAAACTGGATTTTCACTCTTGTCATTTGGAGATTTCATCCTTCACATATGTGCATGGCCAGACTACTATTGGGCAATTCCATCAAACATGGTCTCTTTTACTTACAACATATTTGAGGTTTATCCATAACTTCTGTATGTTCATCTTGCTCTTTGTACCACTGCTATCATGTTTACAGCATACTTTTAAAATTATTGCTTTGCAATATTGATATTCAAAGATATTCTAATACTTATTAGTGTGTCTATTGATTCCTGAAGTGAGGATTTTTTGTTTTATTGTTCAATTGTACTTGGCTCTAATGTAGGATGTGGCTGAACGGCAGCAAGAATGCAAAGAGAAACTACAGGAAATCTGTGATTTGCTTACGCAGACTGAAAATCGACTCATTGGACAGCGAGAGTCTCTTGTTATTGGAGACAGCAAGGCTGAGCTGGAACAATGCCAGACCAAACAGGAGGTAGGCACAATTCTAGTCAGAGAAGTTAAAGAATACTGAGTGCAGAGGAGAGTGACTAGACTCTTTTGTTGAGTAACAAGACTTGTCATGTGAGAGGAGAATAAAACAGATTTGTTTGACCTACAGAAAGTAAAGGCTTAGTGGCTTGCATTTAAACTGCTGCCCGTGACTACACTCCAGTACATGCCAGTGGGAGAACAGAAACTTCCAAATGAGGAGACACCAGAATTAAGAGTATGTGCTGCACATTTAAGGAAGCACTCTTGAAGCAGGCATGAATTTTGTTAATATATTAGTTTAAGATTGTTCGTGTCAAATGTGATAAAATCACAAGTTTTATTATGCTAAAATAATTCAACCAGCTTTTTAACTGGTATCAGCGTGTGTTTATTCCTGTTCATAGTATTTTGAAAAATTTTGCTGCAAGGCTTTCTCTTGGCTGAGGCTTTCCATTGCCTCACTCTTGTTTTGGTTTGAATTCTAGGTTTTATTAGTGTTTCTTATAATCTCTTTGGTATCCTCATGTAACAAAGCCCTTTCAGTTTGCTTGCTTTCCTTGCTCTTCAGCTGTTACCAGTCGTCTATAAGCTTTGACTATGTCCTGACTGATATTGAGTCTGTGCTAGTTAAAGAACTGAAGGACTTGGTGTTCTTCTTCTTCCTCCTTCTCCTAGTAGTAGTTGACTATACTGTAGAACTACGAGTCAGATTTAGTAATCTATAAAGGCAGAAATTTCCTTGTTCGTCTTGCCTTGCTTTATTATTCTTCGAAGTGATACATCTAATTTGTCAAAGTTTTCTTATAGTTAGTGGAAAGATACATACCCCTTTGGTATCTCTTACCTGTCTTAAGAATTTGTGGCCTAAATGGAGTATCTAGGGGAGTGAAGAACTGATGCAGCATATGGTGCCTTTTTTTTTTTCCAATCATCTGTGACTGCCTAGCAGACGAGTTGTTATTTTCTGTCTGGTTTCTTATAGTTGCCATTGAAAAAGTGTGTCTTAAGAGGGAATAGATGTTAAAAAAGGTCTTTTATATGTCAAGTCAGCTTTCCTCCTCAGTGAGCTGTTTGAAAGGGAGCACAGAGATCTTAGTCAGAGGAGCATCTTGCCTTGATACAGTGTCCCCAGGAAAATCTTTCTAATATACTTGCTGGAGTGTTAAAATGAGCTGCAGTTTTAGGTGCCTAACACTATTCCATAATTGCTGCAAAATCCTTAGTCTAGAATGAGAATCAAATATTCTGTCTTGCAGCTCCAAGATTGTTACAGTGCATATAAAGATAAAAAATGTCATTGTTTCAGTAACTGGGTGAATGTGCTCAACAGCAAAATTGTTATAATTAAAGCTCCTCTCAGATAACTGGGAGGCAGTCTAGGAAAACTGCTTTGGATAAACTGAAACTAAGTATCTGTCCTCTGTGAAATTCAATGGATGCAAACATTCTTCTGAGACTAAAATATTATGATTGATTAAAACTAAAATAAAAGTATTCTTATGCCATTCCTGGCCTGAACAAAACAAAAAAGCATGGGAAAACTTCCAACTGGGAAAGACAACTACAATTTTCTAACTTTTATTCAGTTACGTTATTTTTAGCAGCTTTCTGTTAGGATAGAAATGGAAAGAATTTGTCAGGAGACTCACTAACTGCAATGTAGCAGATTTCTACAACATAAGACATATGTTTTTCTCCATCATGGAAATGCAATATTTTAGCTTCTAAAGAAAGGAAAAAAAGTGGCCTGAGTCTGAATAACAGTGTAAGCCAACAGACTTGGAATTTAAAAAAAAAAAAAAATTGAACTGCAAGAACATTGTCAGATGTTGATGTCTTTAAATTTAATAATTCTATCTGCAGTTTAGTAATGTATCATATACTTTCCCAAGTTAGAAAGGACCAGTATGGTGCTTACCCCAGAAAAGGGAGAGTTCCAATAAAGTTAATTGGACGGATCTGGTGAATAATTTACTTACTTCTATGTGTTTTCTTTTTTCTCAAAGGAGATACAAAAAGACATGAGAAGAAGTGCCCAGACACTGGCAGAGATTGTGAAAAATACTGAAACCTTCTTGAAAGAGAATGGAGAAAAGTTGTCACAAGAAGACAAGACTGTTCTGGAACAGAAACTGAATGAAGCTAAGACGAAGTGTTTGCTTCTTAGCCAGAAGGCAGAAGAGTCCAAAAAAGAACTCGATAAAGCTATGACAACAGCGATAAAGCAGGAAACAGAAAAGGTTTTTAGGCAACCACTTCATACTTTATTCAAACTTTTTACATGTCTTGTGGGACTAGTCTTGCAATTTACCCTTGTGTGGTGGGTTTATCCTGTCTGGATGCCATGTGCTCACCAAAGCCATTCCGTCACTTCCCTCCTCAGCTGGATAGGGGAGAGAAAATGTAATGAAAGGGTTGTGGGTTGAGATAAGGGCAGGGAGAGATCACTCACCAGTTACTGTCATGGGCAAAACAGGCTTGACTTGGGGAAATTAATTTATTACCAATCAAATCAGAATAGGATAATGCAAAATAAAAACTGAATCTTAAAAATACCTTCCCTCCACCCTCCTTTATTCCTGGATTCAGCTCCAGAATTCTCTCCCTCATTCCCACCACTGGTGCAGGGGGATGGAGAATGTGGGTTAAGTCAGTTCATCACACATTGTCTCTGCCACTCCTTCCTCCTCAGGGGAAGGACTCCTCACACTTTTCCCATACTCCACTGTGGGGTCCGTACCATGGGAGACAGTCCTTCATGAACTTCTCCAAGATGAGTCCTTCCCACAGGCTGCAGTTCTTCAAGAACTGCTCCAACGTAGGTACCTTTCATGGGCTGCAGTCAGTCCTTCAGGAACTGCTCCAGTGTGGGTCCCCCATGGGGTCACAAATCCTGCCAGGAGCCTACTCCAGCATGGACTTCCCATGGGGTCACAGCCTCCTTCAGGCATCCACCTACTCCAGCATGGGGTTCTCCATGGGCTGCAGGTGGATCTCTGCTCCACCGTAGACCTCCATAGGCTGCAGAGGGACAGCCTGCCCCACCATGGTCTTCACGATGGGCTGCAGGGGAATTTCTGCTCCAGCTCCTGGAGCACCTTCTCCCTCTTCTTCTTCACTGATCTTAGTGTCTGCAGAGTTGTTCCTCTCACATATTCTCACCCCTCTCTCAGGCTGCAGTTTTTCACGCACCCTTCTTAACTATGTTATCCCAGAGTCGTTACCACCATCACTGGTGGGCTCAGCGTTAGCAAGTGATGGGCCCATCTTGTATGTGGCTGGCATTGGCTCTGTCAGACACAGGGGAAGCTTCTGGCAGCTTCTCACAGAAGCAATCTCTGCAGCCCTCCCAATACCAAAACCTGGCCACTCAAACCCAACACATATTGATAAACTGTAGGGAGATTAAATCATATTTCATTTGAGTAACTAATGAACTGCTAGTTTATTTTCTTATTAAAAAAACAGCAACTTCTATGTCAATCAAAAATTCTCTTTAATGTTAATGTATTTTAAATGGTCTGTTTGCATATGATATTTTGTGATGCTTAAAGAAGATTTCTAAACTGAAACTGTGAAATTTTAATGTAGGTTGCAGCCATAGAACAGCTGGAAGAAAGCAAAAACACAATAGAAAATCTTTTGGATTGGTTATCAAACGTGGATAAGGAAGCGGAGCATGGCCGGAGATTTAAGAAAGTTATAGAACAGAATGGAACACACTTTGAAGAAGGAGATGTGAAAGTTTTGGAAGGAGAGGAGGATGATGTCAATGGTAATCTGCTGGAAATGCAGCCAGACATTGAAACTCAGGTGGATGGACTAGTAAAAAGCACAGATGATAATCTGAACCAGCAGTATCAGAAAGTCAAGGTACTGTTTTTACTGGATGTGTTCAGTATTTAAGTGCTAAGCATATTAGTTCTTATTCAACATAAGTGAATTCAATCTCATCTATTCTGTCATGGGCTTTGGAACAGACACTAGGAAGATTGTTATACATAGCGGTAGGAATTTCAGTAGTTAGAACGTATTGCACATTTGTTAGCTTTTTTGCTGTTACTGTAGTTGTTTCCTGCAGCTAAATGTAAAGAATCTTTGTGGTAAGTCTATTATTATTTTGAGAAATTAATGCAGGTAAATAAAATGCAAAAAGTAGCAATGTGAACTCATACCCTTTATGTGACTTTTCCAAAAATCTTTGTGATAGCCAAATTATGCATCCCCCTGGAATCACCTGTAAACACTGATTGCCAGTGGCTGCAAATGGTAGTTTACTGAAATTACTATCTTCATTTCTCATAACTTTAACACATGGGCAAAACAGTATTTGAAGGCTTCAGAAGGATGAGTTACATAAAATCATAATGCGCCATTTTAAAAATAGATTTTCCAGGTAAGGAAGCATTTAAAATAATAAGAGCTCAGGTTTTTTGTGTTTGTTGACTTACAGTTGAGAAACTCAGAACGTTTCATCATGGCTAGGCTTCGCGAACGAAGATTTGGGAAGGGCTCTACCCACGTTTTTTACAAGCGTGCTGGTGGCTAAAGAGGCCAATTTGAGATAGGCATGTCTGATTGCAAAAGGCACAGCAGAAAGACTCCTTAGGTGGTATATTCTGCAAGACACGATTCTTTCTGCATTGTCTTTTCTCCTCAAGAGTGATCCTGCGTGCTTTCTAAAAAGCATCCGCAGCATTATAGATGGTGTTTCTCCAGACCTCCCGATTGGAGGCCAGAGTAGACCAGTTACGTTGATCAATATGGCCAAGACTGAGATGTTGATTCAGGGAGTCCTTGTATCTCCTCTTTGGGGCTCCTCTCTTGCGGCAGCTGGTGGCAAGTTCACCATAAAGCAGGATCTTAGGGAGGCAGTGGTCCTTCATCCTTGAGATGCGCCCTGCCCAGCGCAGCTGTGTTCTCAGCAACATGGCCTCAATACTTGTGATTGCTGCTTGTTCTAGAACAGACGTATTGGTTACATAATCTGACAAGTGGATGTTTAGGATTGTGTGGAGACAGCGTTGATGGAAGCGTTCTAGGAGTCGCAGGTGGTGGCAGTAGATGACTCATGATTCAGATCCCTATAAAAGAGTAGACAGAACTATGGCTCTGTAAACACTGATCTTTGTACTTTTCTTCAAGTGTTTATTTCACCAAACTCTTTTACAAAGCTTTCCAAAGGCACTATATGCCTTTGCTAACCTGTTGTCTATCTCTCCGTCAATCTTACCATCCAAGGAGATGAGGCTACCTAGGTAATTAAACTGCTGGACTGATTTGAGCTCTGATTCACCAATGTTGATATGGGGATGAAGGAAGACTTCCTGAGGTGCAGGTTGATGGAGAACTTCTGTCTTCTTTAAGCTGATTTCCAGCCCAAAGAGCTCAGCAGCATCTGCAAAGCAGGATGTTAAATGCTGCAGAGCTGCTTCTGTGTGGGCAACAAGGGCGGCATCATCAGCATAAAGCAGCTCCCGGACAAGATGGTTTAAGGTCTTAGTGTGGGCCTTCAGTCGCCTTAGGTTGAATAGGCTTCCATCAGTATGGTATCGAATGTAGATACCGTCCTGATCATCAAGGTCTGCCGTGGCCCTTTGGAGTATCATGCTGAAAAAGACTGTGAATAGGGGTGGTGTGAGAACGCAGCCTTGTTTCACACCATTAGTTATTAGAAAGGCCTCAGAAAGTACATTGCCATATCTGACTTGGCTGTGTTGATCCTCATGAAGTGAGATAGTCATTTTAAGGAACTTGAGGGGACAACCTAAGCATTCCAAAATCTGCCATAGACCTTTTCTGCTCACAGTATCGAAAGCCTTGGTGAGGTCAACAAAGGTTACATAGAGACCTTTGTTCTGTTCCCTACACTTCTCTTACAGTTGTCTGAGAACAAATACCATATCTGTGGTACTCCTGTTGGCTCTGAAATCACATTTGCTTTCAGGTAGAATTCCTTCTGCTATAGCGGGTATTAGTCTGTTCAAGAGTATTCTTGCCAGGATTTTGCCAGCAATGGAGAGCAGAGTAATACCACAGTAATTTCAACAGTCTGATTTAATTCCTTTCTTCTTATATAAGGGGATGATGACTGCATCTCGAAGGTCTGATGGTAGCTCGCCTAGTTCCCAACAGCGTAGTATGAACTTGTGAAATTTAGCATGGAGTGCAAGGCCCCCATGTTTCCAGACTTCAGGTGGAATTCCATCAACCCCAGCTGCCTTGCCAATTTTCACCTGCTGTATGACCTTAAGGGTTTCTCCTGAAGTGGGGGCAGTATCCAATTCATACTTCACCGGTTGTTGCGTGATACCCAGAACATTTAGGTGTGGGTTGATGGACATTTTAATGAAAATTATTATGCTTATAGCTGATACTATTTTGGATTTCTTTTCATATTAAAGAAAAACCCCAACCAAACCCCCCAAAGCAACCTAAGAAAATAAGATACTTTAGTTTTGTGTACCTGATGTTTTTACTTCCACTTTTTTGACAGTTCTTTTTTGCACGTAGTGTCTACTGAAAAATTGCTCACTGTACTCATGAAAAAAACCCAACAGTCTATTTTCATCTCTATTTTACAAGAGAATGGAAGACCTTCAAGAATGAAGAACTTTTTTAAAGAATATATTTGAATCATAGTTTTTATTTGGCATACTGTTCTAGTTCCTGTGGCTTAACTTTTTTTATCAGATTGAAAAATTTACATGCATAGACTCTGTCTTGATTTTGCATGTCAAAAGGACTTGCTTTGTGACTAACTGTATTGATAAGAATCACTCCTCTTGATTTTGAAAAACAAAATTTCAAACCCCAGGTAATAATGTTTGTTCACTCAGTGTAAGGAGAAAGTATCTGTATTATGTTTGATGCTTTCACTCATTTTGGTCTGCTTGTCTGTAATGGTAGCTACAATATAAGTAACAGGAAATGGACAGTTTTGATTTGAAAAGTTACCTACCTTTGAATGCTGTATTTGTTAAATCCCATTTTGAGACAGAGAAAGAGGAAAATTTATATTACACTGAGCACACTACAATAAATGCTAAGTAATAAGCAAATAATTTATATTAAGGAAAAAGGTTAAAGAGATTGATAAAGTCTAGTTTTGCCCCACAATGCTGTCTTTTAGAACTATAGAATAAAATGTTTGTGTTATATATACATCCAGGTTTTGCTGAGTTGCAGTGATTATTTGAAGACATCCATTTAGTCATGGCTTGTGTGTCTGGCAAAAATTACCATTGAATGTTGTGTAAAATTTTGAAACTGCATGGAATTATGATGACCAGGAGTGACTTAAATTACTGAAAAAACCATGGGCTTTTAATAAATAATATGAAAATTAGAAAAGCCTTTTATCATTTTGATAGACTTTGTTTTGCGTATCCTTTTCTAAGGAACCATCTGAGAAGGTGTTGGTCATAGTTTATTCTTCTTTTTCTTGTAGGCTCAACATGAGAAAATTATTTCACAGCAGCAAGCTATCATAGTAGCAACTCAGTCTGCTCAAGCACTGCTGGAGAAACAAGGGCACTACCTTTCCCCCGAAGAAAAAGACAAGATGCAAAGGAACATGAAAGAGCTGAAGGCTCAGTATGAGACTGCTTTAGCCGAATCAGAACGGAAAATGAAATTGACTCATTCTCTAAGAGAAGAACTGGAGAAATTTGATGCAGACTATAGTGAATTTGAAACCTGGCTGCAGCAGGCAGAACAAGAACTTGACAATTTGGAGGCAGGGGCTTCTGACTTCAGTGGTATTATGATCAAACTGAAAAGGCAGAAGAGTTTTTCAGAAGATGTTATATCTCACAAAGGTGATTTACGGTATATTACAATTTCTGGACAAAGAGTTTTAGATGCTGCAAGGTCATGTAGCAAAAGAGATGGTGTGAAGGTTGACAAAGATGGTATCGATACTTCAGCAACGTACACTGAAGTGCAAAATAAACTGGATAGTGCCTCAGATCGCTTCAAATCCCTCTATGCTAAAGTAAGTTTTATTTATACTGAATAGGAAAGACTACTGTAATTGATTTAGCAGTTTGTATAGACAGGAGTTAGCTGATGAAACAAACACTGTGGGAAGTTGTAAATTCTTTTTTTCCTCAAAGTTAGATAACAGAACAAGATGCTTTTCTAGAAGATCTGCTTTAGTCAAGTGCTGGACTATTTAACGTCTGAATGGATAAAATTTTCTACTTCATGTTATAAGGGACAAATGGAACCAGATTTCTTCATTGTTCTTTCCAGCCTTTAACAAACTCTGAATTTGTGGCAGTACAGGATGTCTGAGTAACATTTTGGGGTGGAAAGAAATTGTAATGCTTTTAGATGGATAACATTTCTTTATGTTACTTGCAATATTTCCTACAACTGCTTATTTACTTGGCTTCCTATTAATAAAATGGGTGCAGAAAGAGAGGAACTATGCCAAGGTTAACATGCAAAATTTCAAATTGGTTTGTATCCGAAGTAGTTTGTCTCAATGTGACCTTTGTTGTCTGCTCTAGGCATGCAGGAACATAGTCATTTGAAGACAGAAATTCTTTTCTGCTGCTCTGCCAAGTAAACATTTTATCCTTAACAATCTGAGATTAGTCTCTAACTAATGAGTAATTAGCAATGCACAATCCTCCATGTACCTTAAAGAGAGAAGATAATCTATCTCTCTGTGCCAGGTTCATGTATGGAATCTGTCTGGTAGAATTAGACAAACATCACCAACTGGTCTCACATGCCAAATTTCCAGCTGTTTTCAAAAAACCAACACGTTGTTCAATATTGAAAATATTCCAGAATTTTGAATGTTTGGAATAATTATTAATTGAACCATTTAAGAGAGAGTTGCTATCAGTATCCTTTGACCATGCCATTTCATAATTCTCTAAGATCATAGGTTCAAATTCCTTAGTAGAACTTCAGTGTCCACTGTTGGTCTGCAACAGTGGCCATCTTTGTCTGGAAATTTTTATCTCTTTAAAGTTTTTTTGGTCAGAAGTATAAATTCTGTAAAGACATGGATTTGATTGCTTGATTACAAAAACAGTGTAAAACTTGTTTTCTCAGTATGTGAAGGTAGCTCTTCATTTACAAAAGATTGTTTTCATTTTCCCATTCAACTTGTATGAACAGGGAAGCTAAAGCTTGTTAGATTTTCTGCAGTTGGTTTATTGGATTAGTCTTGAGTATGAATGTAAAGATTTCATTGCAAAATTTTCAGAGAGCTTTTTTTTATGCACATAAAAACACAACACCAGCAGCTTGATTTTTGGTCTCGTATTGTCAACTTACCAAATTCTGTCCTTTCCATATATAGATTTAGTAGAGTTATAGTAGACATACTTTAAATATTTGACAGTAATTATCCAGAGCAAAGTAGACTTTTCAAGTCTTGAAGGACAGAATTCTAAAAAGTGAGATCTTCCACAATTAGTGAGATCTTCCAAGTGGTAAATGAATTTGTAGTAACCTTTTTGCCTTTTGTAAAAGCTTCTTGCCTTTAATAAATACTTATATTGCTCTTCCTTATATATATATGCATTTGCACATATGTGAGACATGATTTTATAGGCGTATGTGTTGAAGAAATCTCCAAGTCAGTTCTTGGCTAACTGGTTATGTAAATGAATGTGTTCTATGTCTGCCCAGCAGATGGAGACCGAGTACCATATGTAAACATTAAAGTGCCTGGAAGGTTCAGAGTATAAATATTTAATGTAACAGTTTGTAAATATTATGACTTGATACAATCATATTTTGCTTGTGAAACCATCTCCAGAAAGTCTGAAAGAGTTCCACTGACATTTTTACATGATAATTCACTGTAGACATTTTGGGGCATGCTGATGTATAGGACTAATAGGATCTTGTTCAGGTGAGATTTTTAAGTGACCAAAACAAAGCATATGTACAGTACCAAGCCATATCACTTTGGATTCACTATACAGGTAAAGTATTTATGAAAGCAATACTCCACTGTCTGTATTTTAATGAATGTACATATCTCTCCTGATTTATTTTTTTTTAATTGTGGTTTCCACTGGCTACATTATTGGTGTCAGAGTGCTGATAAAGAATCTTTACATTGGTGAACCAAAAAGTATTCCTGAAGCTCTTCTTATTCTAGTGCTATGGGTTAGATTCCAGTTTCTCACCTGTATCGGTAAATTGATCCTAAATCACCTTTCAGGAGCACAAACTGGGAAGACCTGCATAGCCTGTCCAGCTGTCATGTCTTAGTTCAGAAATCAGGTAGACAGTGGGATGATGGCAGGAAAAAATCATGCAGTATTTCAGGAAGGAAGGAATGTATATGACTTTGGTATGAAATGCAGCACACAGTTTAATGCCTGGGTATTTACTTGTTTGTTTTCTACTCTTTTAGTGTAGCATCCTTGGAAATAACCTTAAAGACCTGGTGGATAAATACCAGCATTATGAAGATGCCTCATCTGGACTTTTGTCAGGTCTCCAGGCCTCTGAAATAGCTGTGAACAAACAACTATCAGAGCCAATTGCAGTGGATCCCAAAAATCTCCAAAGACAACTTGAAGAAACCAAGGTGAAAAGCTTTAAATAGCAAAAGTACTTTTGTCCTAAAAGGAACTGCTTTTTGTCTGAAAAACAGGATGATCTAATATAATCCAAGTGGCTGCAGGCCAAATTCTTGCCCTTCATGTGGGCATGCAACTTTTCTGGTTCTGAAATTTGGCAGTCCAGGGTGATACCTGAGAAACACTGAAAAGAAAAAGGGGTACCAAGACGGTATCAGCAGTGGTGAAAGCAAGATGTGTTTTATATCACTTAGCAAAATCTGGAAAGTTTTTGAATAAGATAGGATTTAGTGATTACAGTTGGCTATTGGAGTAGGGCTTGGGATAGAGTTCCTTATAGAGAAGTCCATTTGATTGTTGTCTGTGACTCTTGATTTTTATTGTTCACATTTGTGTGTTACTTCATTATGAAAGGGATCATACCAGATAAACAGTGTGATGTGAGTAGTCTATTTGCCTGCTTCGGTTGCATCCAGTGTTATGTACCCTGCAGAGAGTGAATATAACATAATTTGCACTGCACAGAAAACCAGTATTTTTTATTTTTCCCCACCGAGCATGTAACTCATGACTTTATGTAAATCCTAGCAGAGGCAAAAAAAAGTTAGTGACAGTTAGCTGCATGAAGTGTAGGTTTAGAGAAAGCTTTGGGAACTCAAGTATAAGGTCATTTATATGAAGTTTCATACACTCTGGCATCATTGAACTGACTCATATTTTCATAAACACATTCCATCACCTATAATATAAGCAAACTGAAGATTATTTTTCAGTGAGCAAGGCTATTGGACCAGCATTTCCTCACTGTTTTATCTGTGTTCTGTGGAGTATCAGTGTAGGCTGGATATGTTTACTATTGACAAATCATAGTCAATGGCTTTTGGAAAGCCCATGCTTTAACCATCTCCCTTACATCAGCCTGAGCAGTAGTTACCTTTACCTACGGTATCTTTCAAATCCACATTTGCAATTGCCCAACACTTTGGTGCATGCGACAAATAACAGCTATGTTTAAGACAACAAATTAAAAGTGTAAGTTTTGGACTCATAACAACGAAACAATTTAGGCACATTTGTGCTTCCAAGTGCTAGAAGAGGAGAATAACACCAATCACAATTTGAAGCTTCATTTAAACTTTTTGTTCCTTATGCCAAAGTGAATTCTATTCTCTATAATGCAAATTTTCATGGAAGTAATACAAAAGGAGTGAGTACTGGGGTTCCTTTTATGAAATGTCTAAATGGATTAGTTTCCACACAAAAGAGTACTCAATGAATATGAGTTGGGAAGAAGGGAGAGGGTACAACTTGTCAAAAGATTCAAAGGAAGAGAAAAAAACAGGAGGCTGAAGAAAGAAAGCCAATTAATGAAAGCAAAACAAAGAGTATTTTGAAGAAGTCAGGTGTTGCAAGTTAAAGCTGTCCCTTGTAGCCAACACATGCAGCTGATAACCCAGCTAGACACAGACCTTGGCAGCATGATGAGGTCTAATCCTTTTATGGGGATTAACTGTTCTTCAGAATATTCTTCAGAGCCTCTGGCATCAGCTTGCTTGCCTTCTGCCAGCATACAAAGTTTTCTGGTACATCTTTTTTTTTTTTCTTTCTTTCTTTCTTTCTTTTTCTTTTATATTTTTTTTCCACACAAGTACTAGTGTAAGGGAAGTTCCTCTTCAGGTCTCTCTGAGATTCATTGTGTCAGTTTGGTCAGCAAGATGTACTGTGATCTAGTTGTGCTCTGAAGGCCATTGTTGAATGCACTGACATGTCTTCTTTGTCCTGGCAGGGTACATAGCATTTACCTTTTGCTTCATATATTCACTGAGTTAGTGTGTATCAAAAAATAAATGAGAAGTACCTTCATTTTGGACTTGTATAACGTGCAAGTGAATAAAAACAAACGTACATCATACAGAGATGCACCTAGCACAGAGGCCTAAAATAATTTAAAGATTACTTACACTAAAGTACTTTGATTTAGTGGAGAGACAAAGCCACTTTTAGAAGTTGATTCGTCCTTACTGTCTTTGACTCTGGAGTGAATCATGGCTGTGCTAGTATCTAAACATATGTTCCTTGGTTAGATGGACAAACACAGGAAAAATTCAGTGACACTGACTCCAGGAAGTTCCTGTCTGTGAAGGCAATCGTATTGTTTCAATCTGTTCCTATTTACACTATGATGTCAGCCTGATCCTTTGTCAATACCACTTGTGGTGAATGTGTAACTGCTGCTGCTGACTGTATGTTTTTCCCCCAAATTGTTGTCGGATGCTGAGTTGAAAAATATGTTTATTATATGGAGTCTGTACAAGTGGTCTTTAGAAACAATTAATTAAAAGACACATTTTGAAGTTACGTGCAAGAAATCAGTTGAGTCAGACAAGCATTCTGAAGCAGAAGACAAAAAAGATGGTGAATGAACTAAACAAGGGCCAGAAGGTCAACAGCGGTCAGAGCCACCCATCAGGATTTTTCTTTGGGAGAGGTCAGAAACTGAATTAGTTTATTCCTAGCACTAAGTTTGGGTTGTATGATGTATCATACCTTTGAAATGTAACTATCAACTGTACTGAAAAGCATAACTGATAATAGTGGAATTTTACAGGTTCTTCAGGGACAAGTGTCTAACCACCAAATTGCTGTAGAAAAACTGAAAAAAGCTGCTGAAGTGTTATTGGATACAAGGGGAGAGTTGACACCAGACAAAGATGAGATTCAGAAAACTCTGGGTAAAATATTTGCTTTTCTTAATACCTCTTTTTATCACTTGTGTCTGCATGCAGGTTGTGGAAGAGACAAAATACAGAGCTTCCACATTCTTGTGTTACTGTTCAAGACCACGTTTTGTTGAGTCATAAGCCATTACAACACAGCAACTTCATTGTTGGTCTCTCTCCTACATTTATCCATATGTTTTTCACTTAAAAGCTGTCATTTCCTTTTTGCATTATTTTTTTTTTTCAGAAATAGGGATTGCCAAGCAGAGGTAGTGATTTGCTGAGGATCATAAATTCTTCAGTGGGAAGGAGCATGTTCAGGTTCCAGAAACATTACTTTAACTACCTATTTCCAAGCAGTTATTTGAAGTTTACTGAGCTGAGGAATTATTTCCTTCTGACTTTAAACTGTGATGAGGTTGACCTTGGCTGGCTGCTCTTTCACTTCCCTTGCCCAAGTGGATGGGGGAAGAAAATAAGATGGAAAAGCCTGTGAGTTGAGATAAAGACACTTACCAATTACTGTCGTGGGCAAAACAGTCTTGACCTGGTGAAAATTAACTTTCATTTATTGCCAAATAAAGCAGGTTTCGAAAGTGAGAAACAAAGACAAATTACAGCAATGCTATCCTCCACCTCGCTCTTTTTTTCAGGCTCACTGTCACTCCTTCCTTCCCAACTTCTCATATCCTTCCTGCCAAACAGTGCAGTGTGGATGGAAAATGGGTGACTGTGGTCAGTCCGCAGCAGCTACTCTCTGCTGCTTCTTCCTCCTCGTGTGTTTCCCCTTCTCCAGTGCGGGACCTCACCACAGGCTGAAATCTTTTGGGATAATAGGATGCAGTTTCTTCAGGAAATAACCACCTCCTCTAGCATGAGGTCGTCTACATGCTGCACTGTGGTTATCTGCTCCAGCATGCTCCTCCACAGTTTTCAGGGGAATCTCCGCTCCAGCAGCTGGAACACCTCTTATCCCTCTTTCTTGTCTGACCTTGATCTCTGCAGGGCTGGTTTTCACACTTTCTTTTCCCTCATTTCTCAGTCCCATGCAGTGTTTTCCCCTTTCTTAAATACATTTTTGAGAGGCACCACCAACTTGGCTGAAGAGATCAGCTGTGCCTTCTGGCAGGTCAGCCGTAGTTGGCTGAAATCATCTCTGTCTTTCATGGGGCAGCCCTTGGCCTCTTCTCATACAGGCAAAAAAACTTGTGACTAACAAAACCTTACCACCATCAAAACATTAACACTTACACTCAATACTTTTCCCCTATCAGTTGTGAGAAGTAGCACAGCATGACATTCACCACTGTCTAAAGTTTGAAGACTCTCTCTGTGTATCACACAACTGTCTCTTACTGGAATCCCAAAAGTAACTTGCAGAACAACAAAAAAAAACAACTGTAGGCTTGTCTCTTTGGAGCTGGTGATAAAACTCCATAGGAGATATATGGAGCTTGTAACTTTCAGAGAGTTATCTCAAAAGTGTTGAATGTCTAACGAAGAAACATCTGGAAGAACTTCTCAGCTCTCACAATAACACAAGAGACATAATTGTAGAAGACCTGTCTTAATAACCTGCTATTTTAGTTCTTGGTAACAGTCTACAGCTGTCTTAAGCTAGAGGTTCATTGGAACCAGTTTCTAAAGCTGGGCACTACAGCTGTAAGCTGCTCCCTCATTTCCTTGTCTTGTGTGTTTCTTTGCTCTCTTTGAGCATTTTGATCTTTGATTCTGCATTATTAGTGACTGAAGCTGATATTTTTTTCTTCATTCTGATGTAGCAATTTTTGACTCAACTGGTAAGAACTGGTAAAACGAGTTAAAAGCTTAGTTTGACTAGAGGAAAATATTGAAGTTATTTTCTCTTTATCAGATGGTATTGTGGAGAGGTATGACAATTTATCCAAATCTGTGAATGAAAGGAATGAGAAGCTTCAAGTAACTCTGACACGATCCCTAAGTGTACAAGATGGTTTGGATGAAATGCTGGATTGGATGGAAGGAGTTGAAAAGAGCCTTAAGGAACAAGAACAAGTGCCTTTGAATTCTGCTGCTATTCAGGATATTATTAGTAAAAGCATTGTAAGTAGCATTCTTTGAAAGAAGAAACCTATGTTTCATAATGCAGATTTCAAGAAAAAATTAAAATCTTAGTTTGTCACCTTTAATGGATTCAAAATACTTGCTAAAGAGGACTGTTATGTGAAGTAAAACTGCACATAAGGATTTCTGTAGCTGAAATAGATCTACCCTGCTGGTCTAGCTGTACTGATTTGTTGCTTTATATGGTGGACTAGGTTTACTTCTTAAAATTTAGTTATAAGGAGTGCAAAGCAGTTCTGTTTGTTTCAGATGCTGGAACAAGACATTGCGGGTCGCCAAAGCAGTATAAACACTATGATTGAAAAAGTGAAGAAGTTCACGGAAACAGCAGATCCATCCACTGCATCCACGCTGCAAGCTAAAATGAGTGAACTTGCAGGACGGTTTTCTGAAGCGAGTAACAAGCATAGAGAGAAGCTTCTGAAAATGGAGGAGTTGAAGACTAAAGTGGAGTTGTTTGAAGGTCTGTCAGAAAAACTTCAGTCATTTCTGGATGAGAAGAACCAGGCCCTCAGTGAGACAGAGGCACCAAGAAAAGATGTTAGTGAAGTGTCTCAATACATGCAGGTACTGTAGCATTCAATTTGTATATATTGTGTATTTTTAGTCTAACTCCTCTAAGTGATTGAACAGTAAATAAGGCATGCTTTTTTCCCAGCTTTGGTTGGTTAGCTAAAATCAAGAGTTTAATTTTCAACTAGTGATTGTTAAGTCTAGTATGAAGAATGTAATCCTATTTTGCAGGAAGCTAGTGTAGAATTGGCACAACACAAGAAGGATCTGGAAGTTTTGAAGCAGCTTCTTGAAGAACTTTCATTCCATGCTCTTCCTGGAGATAAAGCATTGGTATCAGAAAAAGTAAATGCTTTATCTAAGAAATTCAAAGAGGTAGAGGAGACTATAAAGGAAAAGTAAGTTGAATAATCAAAGTGTTTCTGCTTTGGCTAATAACACAGTGTGAATGTTGTGATGACTGCTATCCTTTTGTGTGCAATCTCAAGAGACTGCAGTTAACCAAAGTAAGTGAGGGGTTTTTATTTAAAGAGAAAGATTCTATTTGAAAATGCCTCTGTAGTTAGTCTGTCTGGCTCAAGAGCACTAATATGGACTGTAAAGACAAGTAACTTCTCAAATTTTGTGGCATTCGCAGGAGTCCTGGCAGTTTTAAGAAAACCCTTCTCCCCTTCTCTGATAGAACAGAAATTGCTGCTTGTGTATATTGCTTTAGAGCATCATTTGGCATCAAGTTGCAAAGGAAAACTGGAGAAATTATAGAAGATTCCATATAAGTTACCTTTACGGCAAGACTAGATTTTGTACATTCTGCTTATATCCCTAACGTTAGCTTTTGTGACACTTTGAATTTAGGAATAGTAACATTGGATTGATAATATCAGTTGGTTTAATTATCAGATGGAATACTATCATTCCTTTAATTGTTCTTAATTGTCTAGAGAAGAGGATGTATCGTCTTGTCAGAAACAAATGGATACTTTTGAGCTCCTTGTAGAATCATTAAAGAAATGGATAAAAGAGACCACAGAACGAATTCCAGCAGCACAACCCTCCCTGAATACAGAAGAGTTAAAGAAACCTTTGGAAAATACATTGGTAAGCTATTGTAGAGGAAAAGTGAAATCTGGCTGAATGAACTAAAGGATCTATTACAAACATTAAGGTACAGATTTAAGGTGTAAGCATAGTGATTGGGATTAGGGAACTTGCAGTCTGCATTTACATTCACATTTCCTTTGCATGTTTGCAGGGGATTCCCAAGTAGCAGAGTTGTTCCTTTCTTTACAATAAATCTTTTAAGTCTGAAATTAGTTTTGTAATGATCAAATTACTATCTATCTTAACCAGAATTTAAAAGATGAATGGACATTAAAAGCACCTGAACTGCAGAAAATGAATAGCAGAGGAACTTTGCTGTGTAACCTAATTACTGCTGTGACTTCTCCTGCAAAACTGAGAGCAGTTGCCAAGTCAGGTATGCATTTGTATAATCAGGTAAGCCTTATATTTCAGGAATTTTTAAAACCTTTAAGACAAAAATTAAAATATTTCACTTTTGGGTTAGCATTCTGAATATTATGGCTCATGAGAAGTCATTTAGCTATGTCTCTTCTGACCATTGTTTGCTGTGATTCTCATTCAAACTGTCTAATTGCTGTAGTAATTCAACACACATTCTAATTGTTTTACTCTGCCAAAATTGTGTAAAATTGCTCTGATGTTAATGATTAACAGGTCCTAAAGCTGTTACTTTGGTATGTAGTTCTCAGATAGTGAACAAAATAACAGTATCACAGTTGCCTTCACCTCACCCCAGAAAGCTTGTGATGCTGAGAAGTTGACTTACTCTGATCAGTGTTCAGTGCTTCACTGTCTTCAAGTCTGCAAGCAGGAGAAATACAAACCTTGCTTTTGCAAACACTGATGTACCTGCACAGAGATACCTCTTTAATGGCCAGAAGGCTATTCTGTGATACCAGGCAAACACAGAAGGGTTTGCAGAGTCATGGAATTTTTGTTAGAAGAGTAATGAGGACATGATTTACCTAAAAAGTGAGCCTAGGCAAACTTACTCGTCCCAAAATAACAGTGTAATTAATGCTAGTCAGTGTTTTAGTTGAAACAACAGCACAGAAGGGTAGCGACTTCATATCCCAGCATGATTTTCCTGGGCCAAAATGTTTTTTCAGTCTAGACCTTCAGCTGAATTCTTTTTTACTGGTAGTCAGAATTTAAAGGCAGCAAATCTATTTCCATGATTTTCTGTACTCCAGTGTTAAATGTTAAATTGTTTTACAGAAACGAGTTATTCTTCTAAGTATCATTCCAGTTACAGTTCAAGGATGTGGTACCTTGGATGTTTTAATGACCATAAGCACATTTTCAGTCAATTCTTGAACTGACTAGATCTGGAAATAAATTCAAGTGTATTGGCCTTCATTGGTCATCTGCAAAGCACTAGGAGGATGGGGACTGCCAAAGGATACCTAGTGGGAAAAAGTAGAACACTTCCTTTCTCACATCTCTTTGTAGTAGCCGCCTATGGTTTCAATTTTGTTTGAACTCTTAATAAAAATCTTTCAAGGAACATTTCAGAACCTTATTTGGGCTCCTTCCTCTGCCTCTTTCTCTACTTCTATGCATCCAGATAGAAAAACAGTTCAATAACTATCATGTAAGAGCAGCTGTAATCCTTCAGGCTAGAGCATTTGCCCTCCTAGACAAGAGCTTTACTGTGTTTCACTTTAGCACAGTTAAAAATACTGAAGTCGAGCTAATAGAGCATGAAGATTTACAAGACTCTGGCAGGGGCCTGTGACTTCTCTTATCTGGTTTGTTTTCTCTTGCCATCCTCCAGCTGCCACTAATGTGGTCCTCACTGTCCAGCTGGTACTGTAGGGTGGATGCATAGCCTTTTCCAAGGAAACCATTAATCTTTCTCTGTTAATTGCTCAGCTGGGAATACATATGTGCAAGAGAGTGGGAAGTGATTCTCCTTGCAGTTCTCTGTGCATGATCACGTGCCCCAGCTCTGTGGTCTGACAATGTTTTAGAAAGCTTATGTAGCTCTGGTTCCAGAGGCTCTGAAATTATGTTTAATCAGTAGGGGTGCCTGGATGAGTGGCTGCCTCCAAGTGACAGTAAGGACTTCAAGTCTAACAGTAAGGACTCCACTGTGCAATCCTTGTCATGGAGCATGTGCTGAAGTCTTGCTTATGACAATATAGGGAGGGATTAATCCAATTGGTATCAAGAGCTTTTTGTGCAGAGGTACAGTGGTAAACCATAGAGTCATTTAAGTTGGAAAAGACCCTTAAAATCATCAGGTCCAGCCATTAATCCAGCACTGCCAAGTCCAGTACTAAACCATGCCCCTAGTGCCATGTCTACATGTCCTTTAAATACCTCCAGGGATGATGTCTCAACCAGTTCCCTGGTGGGTAAAGGTACCCTAAGTACATATGAACATACACATGTGCAATGCGTATGCTGTGCATATGCTGTACCACTTACGGTACTAGCTGGCTGGAGCTTTATTCTTTATTCTTAATGTTGTAGTAATAGCTATGTATCTTGCTGTTCTGAAGAGGAAATGCCGTGCTGGGGGTGGTCTTCCTGGGTGGGAGTAAGCATGAGACTTCATCTCTCTTGATCCACAGGTGGCACAATATTAAATGGTGAAGCAGGAGCTCCAGGAACTCAGGATTTCCTGAAAAATAAAGGTCAGTAAAAATTTCATCATGTGATAAAGAAATGTACTTGCCAATTGCTGATAAATATGGAAGTATTTTTTTAATGTTGTACATAAATCTGCTTGTTCACATCACCATCACATAAGAAAATTATATTGACTAGGGAATGATACTAAAATTAATTATAACAATACCTATCATTATTTTCTTTGAAGACAGACTAAATCTGGCTGTGTTTCGTGACTCAAGATATACTTTTATAAATGTATACAGGGATAGCTATTTTGATATAACACATGGCTTTTGAGAAAAGCCTAATATGTGTCTATGGGGTTTGAAATTTTAACACCCACTAGCACTCACAACACACATATACACAAGTATATGTATACAAAAACACCCATTTATATACATTTGTGTCACTGTGACAAAGGAACTTACATAAGACCTTTATATACCTGAACTGTAGCCTCACATGTTCAGCTTTTTGTCAGGGAATTGGTGCTTAAAATAGTAAAAAAACAATGGGTAGAAAGACTGAAAGGTGTTTATGTAACTGTATGTATTGAAAAACTGATTTCTGTGAAATGAGAAGTCCTTGCAAATAGGAACTTACATTAGCTCATTCAGAGGTAGTGTTGCCGCATATAGAGTGAATTGGAAATCACTCTAACATGTTCAGCAACTTCTTATTTGAGGGACTATTAGCTATTGTAACTAGTACTGTTTAGAAGTCCAGGTGATATTGTTTGAAGGGCTTGTAACTTCTAACATAGTTTTTGTGCATTTTTCCTTTTACAGAACTGACAACTGTTCAACAAGCTATATCTGATGTAAATCACAGTTATGAAGATTTGGGAGTTTTATTGAATGAAAAGATTTCAGAACTAGAAAGTATGCTTTCAAAAATGCAAAATATTCAGGAAGAATCAACCTCAATGATGCATTGGTTGCAAAAAATGGATAAAACTGCATCAGATTGGGAAGCTGCTCCAACTGATAGTGAAACAGTTAAAGCCCAAGTTGAGCAACATAAGGTATTTTTTGCCTTCAAAAACATACTCTTTTTTATTGGTTATTGGGCAGATGCTATGACATAACTGATATCTCAGCCTAGCTTAATGTTGCTGAGAGTATTTAGATGATCCTAGTAACCATGTCAATCAGGCTTAGAGCAAATCTGGCAAACTGTGTCAGTGGAGAAAGGAGCACTGTGTCAGAGAGAACCAGTTTTGCAGGTCAGAAAATAGTAATTTTGGTGGACAGTTAAAACAGGTGAGGCTCTATTGATTATGCAATTAACTTTTTTGATCTCCTTAGAGGTTTAAAGGTATATACTAGATTACTTGTAATATCTGAAGGGCTGTATCTGTCCAAAAGCTGTTTCTGCAGCTGATGATTCACTGACACTCCACAGACCTCCTGGTCTCTGCAGCTGTAGCAGCTTATGTCTCTTCCAAGGCAGTGTTTCTCTTCAGCAGCCTTGACATGCTTGTTAAGTTATATAGCTGCACAACAGTCTCCTCCCCACTTTTTAACTGATTTGAGAAAACAACTGAATCAGCAGTAGGCTTCTGTCCTGTTTCAGCATTGGAGACATATGCTTCCCTAGCAATGAAGGACAATGTTTACACATGTAAAGGTTCATCTATAACGGGAAGTGTAATGCATAGGGGAAATTCATTCCTTGCTTGTGATTGTGTTTAAACAAGGAACACAATTTGATTTAACTGAGTTTCTTTTATATTTGGTGGGTCATCCTTAAAAATTAACCTGAACATCTACCAACTTTCCTCAGAGCTGGATAACATTCAATCTTAAAATTCAGACTAAGTGTGGAATAAAACTAGCTCTTTATTTTTAACGGAGAATATGCAAAGCTAACATGAGCATCTTATCCCTTGTGTAGTAATGGAAGAATATTCAGAAATAGCTGGAAAACTGAATGAGTGCTTAGGCAAGAGTCATCTAATGTAGTTGGGCCTTTTACTAGAAGTTCTAAATGAAGTACAGTTTGTTCAGTGTTTATTTTAGTGGGTTTTGGATAATTAAAAAGCAGCTCTCCAGGGCAAGCTTTGTTACTTAAGAACATTCGTATAAGAGCCCTTTGCCAGTTGTATAAGAACTGTTCACTTCTGTCTGCAAGAACATCATGAATTAGGATTTGCTGAGGCATGTCAGTCTCCTGTTAGGCCTCACTTCAAGCTATGGTTCTCTTTAAACTATGGTTTTAGGAGATCTACAAGAAACAGTCTGTCTGTGATAGCAGGATTTCTACTGAGGTAATGAGGCCACACTACACTCCTCTCTGTTGGTGCTATTGGGGTTATTTCTACTGTGAACTGTGCTTTGCAGTAGTCAGTTTGCCTTCTGTACATTAACAGATTCCAAATATATGTGAATATGATGGGACCTAGTGGAACTTATTTATCTGAATTCTTCTAGTTCTGTCACTTGTTCAAATTAAGCAATAATTATTAATGTAGTTTAAATCTTTCAGGTTCTGTCTTCCAAAAAAATTTGACCAGCAACATATGAGGTGTTTTGAAATTCATAACAGAAAAGTAGTATATAAGTGCTAGATATTTACTGTTTATCTTCATGCTTAACATCTCAATATTAAGGACTTCAAACTTTACCATTCCTCTTTAGTCTCTTATTTATTTATTTTATCATTTAAATTTGCAGCTTTTTGAAACTGAATTAAAGCAAAGTGCTAATAAAGTGCAGGAACTAAAGGACAAAGTAACAGAGCTGCTGGAGAAGAACTCTGACTCTCCCGAGGCACCTAAGTGGAGACAAACATTGGATAAAATAGGTACTTCAGTAAAGCTGTATCATAGCTCAGTGATTTGGAAGTTGTTTTATTACGAACTTTTAATCTATTGCCAATCACTAGTATTTTTAGTATCTTGCTCCCTCCTACCCCTTAAATTCTGTGGAAATAACTCCCTTAACAGGAGTATAGATCTCGAGTAATGACAGTGATGTCCACAGGCTTTGCATTTGTATCAGTGCAGTTGAGAGAGGCTATAGCTTGACTCCCTGCTTTAGAGGGCTTTACCTTTTATGTGCAGTTAAAACTTGACTGACCAGTTGCTGCTCAAGATACATGTTTTATTCTTCTTACACAATACAACAGATTAAGTTGATTCTAATTTCATGTAACGAACAGTTAGAGTTGTTGGTAATGCTCTTTTACATGTTTTTTTTCCCCATGAAATAGTGGCTTTTGTCATTTGGTAGGTTTGGTAGCCTTTTGCTGTTTTCTAAAACTGATTCTATACATTTTGCCAAAAAAAAAAAAAGGGGGAAATGACCATGTTTGGACAGTAGATTTTGAGATATTGCAGTGCATAATTGTCATAAGCTTTTAAAGATTCTTTTTAGGTTTGCCATATTTTAAATAAATTATAGGTCAGTCTTGTTCCATAGTGATAGGCATTTCTATAGCTATACCAACAGTAACTTCGAAGCTGAGGATTTTTCCAGTCTGTCCTGTTTTAAGTGAAACTCAGAAAAGTTTAAGTAGCAGGTAAGATCTCCAAGAGATCTTCTGTAATGTTGAAAGGGAATTAATACAGAATGAGCAGAGGTCAAAGACTGATGCAGCAAAAAGGAACTGAAAAAACCAAAGATGAAGATCAGGGACAGAGAGAATTAGCAAGATACCAGAGCTGACTGAGCAAGCACTGACAGTTTCACAGAGGGCAAGGGGAAAGTTGCAAGACTGTAAGACTCAATGTCTCCTCTGGAAGCCACTTGCCACAAGTGGAAAAGACCATATGTTGGCATAGATGTGAACCTAAGCTCACACAGTACTTTTGAAATAGCTATGTGCAGAAGTATTCTCATTGCCTGTCATTAGGTACCTTGTTTAGATGTCTAAATGAGACAGGTAATCTCCACAGGCTTTGAAAGCAGATGTTTGAGAGAGTTTGAAAGAGTTAGGCTTTTTCAGACAGCTGTTCAAAGTTGAAGCCTAAATTAGGGTTTCTGCTAACCCCTATAAAAGTATGAGGTTTTTTTACTGAATAAGCAGGAAGATTTGTCTCTGTAGATCAGGCACCTGAGTTATAACTGAGTACAGCCCTCTGGCTTTAATGTCATTTGAGACCAAAGCCTAAATTTGGGGGTATTTCATTTAGTAATATGCTAGTCCAGTTTTATTACATGTTGTATATTCATTGGTCTAAAAATTCCACAAGTGTCTGACCTTCATCCAAATGTATATGGGTCTGACTGTTAAAAGATGTATTTGCCGAGTCACTGCAATAAGGCATCTGGAGTTAATCAGCAAAAAGCCTTATGAAAGAGCTCTCTTTATGTTTCATATATACTCTGCTGTCTGACAACCCATCTGCTAGAATATGCATGCAATATGTTAACATTATCATTGTTAGATTCCAAATGGAAAGAGCTCAATCAAGTTACATCTGAGAGACAACAAAAACTGGAGGAGTCATCAAATTACCTGACCCAGTTCCAGACAGCAGAAGCCCAGCTAAAGCACTGGCTTGTAGAAAAAGAGCTGATGGTCAGTGTGCTAGGACCACTATCAATTGATCCTAATATGCTGAATACACAAAAGCAACAGGTTCAGGTGAGTAGTGCCAACATACATTATTGATTTCCATTTCTTCTGGTACTTTTCTATTAGCAAAGTACTGTTTTGCATCTAGAGTAGACAGCAGTTAGTATGATCCATTAGATTTGTTTATCAGCTTAAGTCATAGTTGACTACAATAATTACAAGAAAAAATTATCATAGGAGTGAAGAGAGATCAGTACAGCTAAAGGAAAAAATGTTGAGAAGATACTGATCCTCTGATAGATTTTTTTTTTGTTTGTTTTGACCATAGTGTGGTTTCTCTGGAGTGGAATGAAAATATCCCTTTGAATTTTATTAATTTGACATCTTATGGTCATTCTTTATTACAGTCTAGGCTTAGAACTAGCTTTTTGAGATTTTATTCAATTGACTGTACCAGTAGCTAACAAAAATACAAAGGCAAGTGAAGTGCATTACTGTGGATAGATATGAGGCCAAGAGTGCAAAGGACAGAAGAAAGTATAATGAAAAAGTGGAGCAGTTTGCTGACAGCAGTACAGCAAACTGCAGACAAAAGAAACAAAAGTGAAATCAGATGAGGTTGCACAATGTAGAAATTTTAATTTCAAATATTTCTATTGCTGCCAGGTAATCTAAACTTATGAGAAAAAACATATTTTTTGCAAAAAAATTATTAAAACTGCAATATAATTATTGATTAAAATGAAGTGCTTAAAATATGAACTATGTTCTAAGATTATGTGAAAATGACTCAATATTGCTTTGTAAGTGCTTCAAAAATCTAGCCTGATGGCATAAAACCATAGTGTATCACTTAACAGTCCTTAAAAGTTCAGCCTAATTGACTTAAAAAGAAAGGGTTTGGAATGTTCTGTAAAGTAAAAGCATTATATTTGTCCCTTCTTCTGCAAGCACTGTGACTTACTGTCAAAAAAAAATACCAGAAACCAGTGATATAAACTTTAAAGGTCTCAGAGTACACATTCAGTAATTTTGTGAATTATCCAGGTATTTTCTGTGTTTAAATAATACATTGCAGTATTATGTCAGAATACACCTTCTAGGAAAGAAGACACTGCTTGAAACTAAACAGCACTTACTTTACTTGGTGTGGTTACTTAACTATTGTGATATTAACAGAATTCATTGTTTAGTTGTATCTCCTGGTTGAATTTCCATTAGATGATATGTAAATTCACCTCATTTTTATCTGGTTCTTTGATGTAAATGCTTGAAAACAACACAGTTTTATGTGTAGAAGATGCATTTATTTCACTGGCTTTTAAGGTCAGAGATTGATTAGAGAGCTTAGCTACAACAAATTCTACATGATTTTTGTCAGCAGCACTTTTCTTCTTTTTCTCATGAGGTAAATGCTTTTTAAAATTCTCTTTCTTTCTAGATTCTGCTCAAAGAGTTTGACACCAGAAAGCCACAATATGAGCAGTTAACTATGGCTGGTGAAGGGATTCTGAAGAGACCTGGTGAACATCCACCCTCACATGAAATTGTAAAAGAGCAACTGGCAGCTGTGGCACAGAAATGGGACAGTCTAACTGGCCAGCTGAGGAAGAGATGTGACCGAATTGACCAAGCCATTGTGAAAAGCACAGAGTATCAAAGTCTACTCAGAAGTCTATCTGATAAGCTAAGTGCCTTGGATAATAAGCTAAGCAGCAGCTTGGCTGTGAGTACACAACCTGATGCTGTGAAACAACAACTGGAAATTGCTAGAGAAATGAAGGAGGAAATAGAACAGGAAATGAAGAATATAAATGCCGCGCAAACCCTTTGTGAAGAGCTGTCAACACTAGTTGGGGAAGAGTATTTGAAAGCAGAACTTACAAGACAGTTAGATGGCATCTTAAAATTGTTTAAGGATATTGAGCAAAAATCAGGTTAGTATTTACTTAAAGAAAAATAGTAATTTAGGCATAAAGTTAAACATGACTTTATGATAGAGATATTGAGTTAACTGAGCCTGGTGCCAGCTCTCTATCTAGTCCATTCCCCAAGCAGTGGCACATTAGAATTTGCGAGAGTCCCCATACCTTGAAAAAGTAAGAACACTACTTGGGATCTCTACTGAAAAGTTTTGGAGAGAATTTGAAGTACAGTAGCAGGGCTTCTTTTCTCATCTCTTCCTTCCTTCCTCACCTTCACTGAATTAGAATACCAGAAGAGGATGCTGTTCATTGAGCTATCTAACTTTATTGGGGCAGATGTAAGCCAAAATCATAATTTTTAGGCAAGAACCCCTTAATGTCTTGGAGAAACACAGTGGCAATTGTATAAAACTGCCTGTGACAGAAGGGGGCTTGTAGTCTGCAGCCTTCCCTTACCCTGTGAACACAGAACTGAGCAAGTAATACACTGCAAGCGATATCATGCTTTGTTGTCCCTAGCAGCCTCAGTTTTAGCTTTTTAATTTCCTCTGGTCGCCAGGAACTTCGAAGGATCTTCCTAAGAACACATATTGCCTGCAGGCCATGAGTTAGACACTACTAGGTTAGACCACTTAATATTCTCTGTGCTTACACTTCATAATACCATAAAACACGATTGTGTGGTTTTTACCCCCAAAATCTGCCTGAAGGGGATTCATGTAGACATAGATTGGCTAAGCTTACCTTGTTTGATTCATGTTCTAATGCCTTCACTGCTCTGCTGTATTATAGGCATGAGTCTGTCCCTTGCAAAAAGTCTGTCCCTTCGTTGACTTGGTTGTCTGCCAGTCAAACACCACATTGAAAGGACCAGCTTTCCTTACATTAATGATTATGTAATTGTGTAATAGAATCAATATTAGGGTTTTTTTTTCATTGAATACTAGCAGATCTGACAAAATGAATCTCTATAATGTCTTCTCTTTTGTAGATAACCATGTTCAGCAGCTTCAGTCAGCATACACCACTTCTCATCAGTTCCAGCAAATGTCTAAGGACTTTCAGACCTGGCTAAGCAAAAAGAAAGAAGAGCTGAACCAGGCTCGTCCTGTGTCAGCCAAACTTGATGTCTTGCAATCACTAATTGAAGAGCAGAAAGAATTTAGGAAGACAATGACTGATCAGATTAGTTCATATGAAAGAATTGTTGCAGAAGGAGAAAGTATTTTACAGAAGACTCAAGGAGCTGACAAAGCAGCGTTACAATCCCAAATTGCTACACTCAGAAATAACTGGGATGAAATGAATAAACAGGTAAAAGAAAGGGAAGATAAATTAACAGATTGTCTGGAGAAAGCCTTCAAATACAAGGAGCATGTAGAAAATCTGCAGCCATGGATAGAGAAGTGCCAAAGCAACCTGTGTGAATTAAAAGTTGGCATAAACCCTATTGAAATAGAGAATTCTATGGCTCAGGTGAGGGCATGGCAGAAGGACCTGGATAAACACCATGGGATGGTGGAGCTATTAAATAATTCTGCTGAAAGTTTGCTCAAGGCAAGTCAAACAGATAAAGAAATTGTTAAAGAAGAAATGAAGGTGCTGAATCAGAATGTGAATGTGGTTACAGAACAGTTACATAAGAAGAGAGAGTGCTTGGAAAATATGGCACAAAGACTGAAAGAGTTTCAGGAATCATCCAGGGAAGCCGAAAAACAGCTTAAAAGTGCCAAAGAGCATCTGGAAGCTCATGACTCACTTGGACCTCAGTCATTCAGCAACAAACACCTGACAATGATGCAGGCCCAGCAGAAAGCCTTACAGGCTTTAAAGCCTCATGTCGATCTAGCAAAAAAGCTTGCCCAAGACCTGGTAGTAGAAGCTTCTGATTCAGCAGGTGTTTCTGACCTTTTGCTCCAAGCTGAATCTTTGGAGCAAGAATACACTGCAGTGAACAAGCAGGTTGAAGATAGGTGCTCATTCTTAGAGACAAAACTTCAGGGAATCGGCCATTTCCAAAACAGCATCCGAGAGATGTTCTCTCAGTTTGCAGAGTTTGATGATGAACTTGATAGCATGGCTCCAGTGGGGAGAGATCTCAAGGTATTGCAATCACAGAGAGAGGACTTAAAATATTTCCTGAAAAAGTTGGAGGATCTTATAATGAATAATGAAAATGCTAATAAAAATTGTAAAATGATGCTAGCCACAGAAGCTGAAGCTTCTCCTGATCTTGTTGGTATAAAGAGAGACTTGGAAGCTTTAAATAAACAATGCAACAAGCTACTAGACAGAGCAAAAGCCAGGGAAGATCGAGTAGAGGATACTATTTGCCGTGTTGAGGAGTTTTATAGTAAGCTAAAAGAATTTTCCAATCTTCTTGGGAGAGCTGAAGAACATGAAGAGTCACAAGGTCCTGTTGGAATGGAAACAGAGACAATTAATCAGCAGCTGAATACATTCAAGGTAGGAAGATTGCTTTCTTGCTACTATAAAGTATTTTACCACAATACAACTTCATTAAACATCATAGGGAAAGAGGTTGGTTACATGCAGACCTTGGAGGAGTCATGTTTCACAGCAGTCTGTTCTGCCTGTATGCTTTTTATCTGTTTTAAATGAGTATCTTCTCATGGGTCTTCAAAAGCTTTTCTTTGCTTCAACTTGGCAGAAACCGCAAACTTTGCATCCCAGCTCCTAGTTCCTGCACTCCAGTTCCTTTTTCACCTCTCTTCATTATCTTGTTACCCTCTGTAATGCATCTGCCTTTTCTATTTTTGGGAAACTGTGTATTGTCTCTATTTGATGTCCATGTATTGCACAACTTTTTTCTTCACAGTGGTGTGAATTTTAGACTCCAGTATTCACATACTAGACCACATTCACTTTGCTCATCTGAGTAGTTTAGGGGTTTTTTTTCACATGGGTATAGGCTTCAGCATATGTAGATTTAAGATGTTACTTTTTGCCATTTTGTCTTCTGATACTCTGTCCAGTTTTACCTCACTGAGTGCCACCCTTACCTAGAAACATCCTAGTAAAAAGAAAACAGGTAAAATGAGCCCCCTGTTATACTGGGAGTTTGCTGTAGCATGCTTATCCAAAATGTGCTGTGGAGCTTCTGTGTGCAGCTTTTATAATATGCCAGTAAGCAATCCTTGTCCAGCTCAAAAAAATGCATTACAGTGATAATGAGTGTTAACTGAGCTTTGGTGCTGAAATGAAGTACAGATATTTACTTGGTTTAGGTTATAATAAATGAATTGCCAGCGCTCATTAGAAAGATTTATAAATCCTATAGATGTAAGCAGTGTTTGAAGAAGATCATAAATTTCCTAATGACTATATGGTAGCACCGAATATTCTGTGCTGCTTTGGTTTCATTCTAATCTAATATTGATTCAAATGTTTGTATGACTTGTACATTAGTTGACACTTAATGATAAAACCAAACCTTCATAACAGGATTCGATAAGCTATGCTGTTAAAAATTTGATGACCTTGGAAAACAGTCATAACGCATAGAATCAACTGGGTTGGAAAAGACCTCTGAGATCATCCAGTCCAACTCTTGATCCAACACCACTGTGGTTACTAGACTATGGCACTAAGTGCCACATCCAGTCTCATCTTAAAAACCTCCAGGGAGGGTGAATCCACCACCTCCTTGGGTAACCCATTTCAATGTCTGATTACTCTCTCTATAAAAAATTTTTTCCTAATATCCAACCTAAACCTCCCCTGGCAGAGCTTAAGACCATGCCCTCTTGTCCTACTGCTGGTCGCCTGGGAGAAGAGACTGATCCCCACCTGGCTACAACCTCCTTTCAGGTAGCTGTAGAGAGTGATGAGGTCTCCCTTGGGCCTCCTCTTCTCCAGGCTGAACAACCCCAGCTCCCTCAGCTTCTCCTCATAGGATTTGTGTTCAAATCCCTTCCCCAGCCTCGTTGCTCTTCTCTGGACCTGCTCCAGCACCTCAATATCCTTCCTGAACTGAAGGGCCCAGAACTGGACACAGTACTCCAGGTGTGGCCTCACCAGTGCTGAGTACAGAGGAAGAATCATTTCCCTGCTCCTGCTGGCCACACTGTTCCTGATACAGGCCAGGATGCCATTGGCCTTCTCGGCCACCTGGGCACACTGCTGGCTTATGTTCAGCTTCCTGTCTATCCAAACTCTCAGGTCCCTTTCTATCTGGCTGCTCTCCAGCCACTCTGTGCCCAGCCTGTAGCGCTGCAGGGGGTTGTTGTGGTCAAAGTGCAGGATCTGGCACTTGGCCTTGTTGAACCTCATCCTGTTGGAATCAGACCATCTCTCCAGCTTGTCCAGGTCCCTCTGAAGAGCCCTCCTGCCTTCCAGCAGAGCAACACTCCCTCCCAACTTGGGGTCATCTGCAAATTTGCTAATGGTACACTCAATCCCCTCATCCAGATCATCAGTAAAGATATTAAATAGAACTGGGCCCAACACTGATCCCTGGGGGACACCACTATGTGACCGGCTGCCAACTGGATGCAGCACCATTCACCATCACTCTCTGGGCCCGGCCCTCCAGCCAGTTCTTAACCCAGCCCCTGTCCAAGCCGTGGGCTGCCAGCTTTTTCCGGAGAATGCTGTGGGAGACGGTGTCAGAGTCTTTGCTGAAGTCCAGATAGACCACATCCACAGCCTTCCCCTCATCCACCTGGCAGGTCATCTGGTCATAAAAGGAGATCAGGTTGATCGGACAGGACCTGCCCTTCCTAAAGCTGTGCTGTCTGGGTCTGATCCCTTGTCCATCCTGTAGGTGCTGTGTGATTGCACTTAGGATGATCTGCTCCATAACCTTGCCAGGCACTGAGGTCAGGCTGACAGGCCTGTAGTTTCCTGGGTCCTCCTTGCAGCCCTTTTTGTGGATTGGTGTGACATTCACCAACTTCCAATCATCTAGGACCTCCCCAGTGAGCCAGGACTGTTGGTAGATGATGGAGAGTGGCTTGGCGAGTACTTCTGCCAGCTCCCTCATTACCCTTGGGTGGATCCCATCTGGTCCCACAGACTTGTGAGGATCCAAGTGGCTCAGCAGGTTGCTAACCATTTCCTCCTGGATTACAGGGGGGCTATTCAGCTTCCTGTCTCTGTCTACCAGCTCTGTAGGCCAATTGTCCTGAGCACAACCTGTCTTACTGTTGAAAATTGAGGGAAAGAAGGTGTTAAATACCTCAGCCTTTTCCTCGTCTTTCATGACTGTGTTCCCCCCCATGTCCAACAAAGAATGGAGGTTTTCCTTGCCCCTCCTTTTGCTACTGATGTATTTGTAGAAGCACTTCTTGTTATCCCTGGCAGAAGTGGCTAGATTGAGTTTAAATTGTGCCTTTGTCTCTCTAATTTTCTTTCTACATGGCCTAACTATATTCCTAAACTCTTCATGAGTAGCTAGCCCTTTTTTCCATAGTCGGTAAGCAATCTTTTTTCCCCTAATTTCCTTCAAAATCTCCTTGTTCAGGCAGGCTGGATGTCTTTCCTCCTGGCTTGCCTTTCGGCACACTGGGACAGCCTGCTCCTGTGCATTCAAGACTTCCTTCTTGAAGCATGTCCATCCCTCCTGGACCCCTTTGTTTTCAAGGGCTGTTTCCAAGGTATCCTCTGAACCAATCTTCTGAGTAGGCCAAAATCTGCCCTGCGGAAGTCCAGGGCAAAAGTTTTATTGATGGCCCTCTTTGCATCCTCGAGTATTGAAAACTCTATTATTTCATGGTCACTGTGCCCCAGACAGCCTCCGACCACCACATCTCCCACCAGCCCCTCTCTGTTTGTGGACAGCAGGTCTAATGAGGCCCCACCCCTGGTAGGTTCATTTACCAGTTGAAGCAGGAGATTATCCTCTATATGCTCTAGGAATCTCCTAGACTGCCTCTTCTCTGCTGTGTTGAGTTTCCAGAAGACATCTGGCAGGTTAAAGTCACCCACAAGGAGAAGGGTTGGCGATTTTGAGACATCTGCCAGCTGCTTGTAGAATAATTCATCACCCTCATCCATCCTGTCTATAACAGACTCCTACCAGGATGTCAGCCTTGTTGGCTTTCCCCCGACTCTGATCCGCAGACACGCAACCTTATCTTACTGACTTCAAGTTCTACAGAGTCAAGAGACTCTCTAACATATAGAGCCACCCCTTCACCTCTCCTACCTTGCCTATCCCTTCTGAAGAGCTTGTAGCCATCCATGGCAGCACTCCAGTCATGCGAGTCATCCCACCACGTTTCTATGATGGTGACTACATCACAGCTTTCCTGCTGAACAGTGGCTTCCATCTCCTCTTGTTTGTTACCCATATTGTGTGTATTGGTGTACATGCACTTCAGCTGGCCTGCTGGTAGCACTTCTAACTCTGGCTTTCCACTCTTAGGTTCATCTCTGGAGAGCCTTGTTTCAACTCTTTCCCCCTTCAAACATAGCTTAAAGCCCTCCTGATCAGCCCTGACAATTTATGGGCTACAGTCCTGTTGCCCTTGCTAGATAGATGAAGCCTATCTGACTCTAGCAGGATCGGTACCATAGAATTTGCCTCATGGTCGAAAAAAACAAAATTCTGCCAGTGGCACCATTCCTTTAGTCACCTATTGATGAGTTTTCCTACTCCTCTCCTCATTCATCCCTGCTGCTGCAGAAACTGAGGTGAACACCGCCTGTGCTCCTGTCCCATTAACTAATAACTAATCGACCCAGCACCTTGAAGTCCTTTTCAAGTAGCCTGCTACCTCTTTCATTAATGTCATCACTGCCAGCCTGGACCAGCAGCAGTGGATAATAATCAGAGGGCCAGATTAGTTCAGGGAGTCTCCTACTAATATCTCTCACCCAGGCCCTAGGAAGGCAGCAGACTTCCCTGTGGGATGGGTCCAGTCTGCATATAGGGCCTTCAGAAGGGAATCACCAACTACAACTACCCTTCTTTTTTCCTTTATAGCTGTGGTTGTATCTGTCTGGTAGATGAGGTGCAACGTGCAGACCCTCTAGACAGATCCTCTTCTTGACTGCCCTCTGCCTGACTCTCTGGGTCCAGGGCCTCAGACCTGTTCTTTAAGGGCACCTGGGGAGGTGATGGGGGTCGGGAGGGGATTCCTTTACCTCTCCGATTAGGGACCTGTTTCCATTCTCCCCCATCTACTTGGTTTGCTCCATCTGCCTGATGGCAGGAGGGGCAGGGCTTCACTGTCTCCGGCTGGACTTCCTTTGGGGTTGAAAGGGTATGACTCCACCAGTCTATTTCCCTTTCACTTTCCCTAATACTTCTTAGCCTCTCCGTTTCTTCCTTGAGCTCTGCCACTAAGCACAGCAAATCATTTACCATACGCAGGTGTCTCTCACACTGTCCTCTGGTACCAACACCAGGCTCAGACACTCTGTGCAGGCAGTCATTACATGCCTGGCCCAACAGAGGGTGCATTTTGCTTGTTTAAGAAAGGAAAACTAAACCGGAAAAC